AAATATTGTTGATTTTTTCGATTCTTGTATAATCCGAAATGTAATGTGTTGGTACTCACCCTAACCTGATAATTTGCCGAAAAAACATGATTACTTTTATCCAACACACTTGTCCAAGAATCCCGAGATTACTCTAACCATGCGCCACTCCAGCTAGGCGAAATCAATACTCAGACTCCTCGCGATAGAAGCCGGCAACCAAGAAAGCCAGCTCCAAAGCTTGCTTCTCATTCAATCGCGGATCACAGAAAGTAGTATACCGCTCCCCGAGACCATCCTCGGTCAACCCAGCCGCACCACCGACACACTCCGTAACAGCCTCACCAGTCAACTCAAGATGCATACCACCCAAGAACGACCCAGCAGCCCGATGAATCTCCAGCGCTTGACGCAACTCAGACAAGATATCCGTGAAATGACGCGTCTTCACCCCAGACGGCGTACTCTGCGTATTGCCGTGCATGGGATCACACTGCCAGACAGGGATATGGCCAGAAGCCTGCACAGCGGCGATATGCCCAGGCAAGAAGTTTGCAATTTTAGAAGCACCATACCGCGAGATCAAAGTGACCTTACCGATCTCGCGCTCCGGGTTGACGACATTCAGCAAGTTCACTAGCTCGTCCGAGGCCATGCTGGGCCCGATCTTGATTCCGATAGGGTTGGCGATTCCGCGGAAGAACTCGACATGTGCGCCGTCGAGTTGGCGTGTCCGGTCGCCGATCCAGAGGAAGTGGCCGGATGTTGCATAGTACCCGGAGTCAGGGTGGGTCGGGTTAGCTGTAGTTTTGGACGGTGGGTGTCGAAGAAGTCGGGTTAGGCTTTGCTCGTATTCGAGTGAGAGACCTTCGTGACTGGTGAAGATGTCTGCTGTTTCCACGCCGCGGTCCTTGTCGATTCCTACGGTCCGCATGAAGCGGAGGGCATCTTTGACGGCGTTCACGGTAAGTTCGTACTTCTCTTTGATTGAGGGTGTGATTACGTGTCCCAGGCCCCAGTCTAGAGGGGAGTGCAGGTCTGCTAGACCAGATGAAAGGGAGGCGCGAAGGTAGTTTAATGTTGCCGCTGAGTGGAAGTAGGCTGAGACCAGACGCGATGGGTCTGGTTGGCGGGACTGGGGATTGGCATCAAATCCGTTGATGTTGTCACCGCGGAAGGAGGGCATTTCCACCCCGTTGACTACTTCTGTTGAGCTTGAGCGTGGTCTGGGTTGCGTTCGTTAACTTTGTAATGGCTACCGGGTATGCGGATCACGTACTTGGCAAATTGACCTGCAATGCGGGCAATACGAATAACGGGTTTATTGGCACCTAGTTATGGATCAGTCGGTGCTTTGTACTTTGCAGGGATTGGGACATACCCCAAATCAGGACCAAGCTCATTTGCAACAGAAGCTTGACCTTGGCTTCGATCATGTCTTGGTTACAGTAGTCGAATAGCTCCGCACAGTCACCTAAGCAACATGATTAGTCTTATGTTTGATGGTGTTGCTGTGGTTGAACAACGTACCACCTTGTAAAACAAATGCTTCGCCCAAAGCGACTTTTCGCAGGTTATCCTTAAGTTGAATGATCTGAAATTGTGGTCAGATCTTGTCCCAATGCCAACCAGAATCATTAACCTACTTCTCGTGTTGTTACAAGGGGAGGTAGCTTCTGCAGCTTCTCCAACGAGTCTTTCAACCCTTGGCGATCCTCGTAGATGACATCTTGCTTGATGGGCTTTCGTGTCCACGCTAGGAGCAGTCAGTAAAACCAGACTGATCAGACTGATCCGACGAAGACTTGTTGAGTTTCTCTTACAACTAGGGCTCCATTCAGTCATGGCGGTGAGCAGCCCCGAAAGGTGGGGGTGAAAGAGTGGGGATTATTATGGAGAAGAGGTGCTTCCTCTGATCGTCAGAGAATCAAGCCAGGATCAATCGCAGTTACAAACAGAGTGTCGAATCAGGAGAATAAAAATCCAAGAAAATATCTCAAAGCCATTTTAACAGCTAATGTGTAAGGTAACGTGATATCCACGTGCGTTCACGTGCGCTTATTCACGGAGATGACTCATTTGATGCCTGGAAGGTTAGGCGTCCCCACAGCAATAAATTTCGAGCCTCGGGTTTTATTGATTTTACCATGTCACCCAAGGCTTGCTAGCTACTGATTTGGCTACATATTATGTAAATCAGAGCATTAAATGTGAATTTACACATACAAACCAGGGGAATGGTGCTATAATTCACTTGGATAGATCCATGTTTCTTCGCCGGATGTAAGGTCTTGTTTTCTACTATAAAACTTGGATAAATAGCTTCTTCACCCTAATTGTATTTATGACCTTTCTTCCTCCCTTCCCCCATCAGATTCGTTGTTTTCGATTAGGTACAGACTAGTTGAAATCCCCTCGTTGCGCCCACTATAGGCTTGCCCACTTCGCTGGATGAAGTTGCTGAATGAAGACGGGTATTTATCTATATACTTATAAGGCTGTCTTAGTGCATTGATCTATTGTTCCACTCCTCGCCTTAATGTAGTAAATGTACTTAGTTATCAATTTGGCTGGGAACGCCACACATGAAGGCACCGTCCAGCTCCTAGATCGCTCTGATCTAGTCGACCCACATGTCCACCTAGACTTGACTACATATGGGCTCTTCAGTCCTTGACCCTCGCTCAAATTGAGTGTCTTGCATACTTGATATTCTTGAATGGTCTTCGTGCACATGCGCATATAGGCGAGCGTGTCAATTCTCTGTACATGGTGTAGGAACTCCGAATCTACTGTATAGAAGACGAGCCGCAGACCTTCGTCCCCCCAGTTTGTTCTTCTAGGACATTCCTGTCTATAATGCGAGTATCTACATTGATCAAGTAACTGTCTTGCAATCACTTTGCTAACATACGGAGTTTAAGTGTTTCTATCGTCGCAGGTCAACTCGAGGACCTTTCTTTTTCGGAATCCAATTTGTAAACATATATCTGATGCTATTGGACTGGCTCTAGGCTTAGATTATTATATAGATATTTCAGTCTTCAGTTGAAGGCGAAAGTGGAACCTTAGGGCGTAGTTGATGGAGAATGTGTGATTTGACATGTGAACGGGCATGAAAAATTGGTGCCAGCAATGACAGGCGAAAACAGCTCATAGTTATAAAAAAGGGTTCCTGATTGTAAGGCCATAGAGAGAAATACTGTGTCAATTGCCATCAATGCATTCCCTATCAATTGGCTACTGAATTTTATACTGCATTGAAAAGAACGTTTAGATGTGGTATGGGACCAAAAAATGATAGAACTGAAGGGAAATCAGCAGACTCCCAAGACTGAAGCCCTGGGCCCAGTGGAGTCGACCGACCGAACATTAAGTTAATTGGGGACCCCCGTAGAGACGATAAATCTTCAAGCTAAAATTGGGAAAGGGCACTATCGAGATCGGGACCACGGAGCCGAGAAAAGGGGCATGTAATTTTCCACGCTAATAGAAAATAAATGAATCCGAGCCGTGGCGTTTTCAGTGTCTAATGTGGCGGGCCAATCTATTTCCGATCAGGCAACCCTGCAGGAGCCTCTGGCAAATTACAGGTAGCCCCGTAGGATACGAAGATACGATTGGACATGTCTCTAAACTAACAGTAGTGTGCTCGTTTGAGTTTGCTTCTTTGGCGCTAGTAGGGGCGAACGTGGGCCGGACCCTACGTGAAAAGAGCCCCAAAATAGTCCCTTATGCTTACAGTACTGCGTTATTTAATCTGGGCTTTCCTTTCTTTTTCTAGTTAACGTTGATCTTCAACTTCACATACTACTATTCTCACATCATGCATTACAAGGTGCTCATTCCTCTGTCCCTCGCCGCCACAGCTCTGGCTGCCCCTGCAACAGATGCCACCGGTACATCGTCGAGCTACGAGACTTCTGACGATTACGACGTCAATATCAGCTACGATGACAGCTACGGCCTTGCCAATGTGCCCAGCTCCATCCTGGCAGTCCTGGCAACCGCCATCCCATCTTCGTTTTATGACGATGTCCTGAACCCGGCATCTCGCTCCGCTATTATCAGCGCCGCCGCAGCTGGTACCTACCCAGCTTGGTACAACGAGCTACCTAGCAGCGTCAAGGCCTGGGCCACCTCCAACTTCGATAATGAGTTTATCGGAGCTTCAGCCACTGCCGCCAGCGACTCTGAGACCGCTGTTAGCAGCGCCTCCCAGACTGCCGCTGGTAGTGCCTCTGAGACTGGCTCCAGCGCAGTGGCTGCTAGCAACACTGCCAGCCAGACTGCTTCTTCTGCCGTCAAGACCACTTCGAGTTCCTCCTCCGCCAGTACCACTTCCGGCTCTGCCTCTTCTTCCGACGCCAGCTCTAGCTCTGCTTCAGCCTCAGCCTCCCCTTCGCATTCTACTGGCGGTGCTCCTGCTCCTGCCGGTGGTGTTGCCATGGGTGTCGCCGGTGCAGCTGGTATTCTGGCTCTTGCTCTTGCTCTTTAAAGTAGGACCGTCAGACTTTCCTACCCATGCCCCTGTTAATATTTTGGGTTGGTACTCTGAGCATCACTGCAGTTACAAATCATGTCGTTTTGACTACTCATGTGTGTAAATAAAATCAATTTATATACCCAACTTCTAATTCAAGTTCCCGCGTCTCAATGTTCCCATCTGGTGTCTTGCTTGACTTCCCCTGGCTCTAGCAGCCGTTCCGTTCACAATCCTGGACAACCGTCTTCGCGAATATCGTAATCTCTTTTCTATCCACCATAATTCCCAACATGACATCGAATAGAACCCGTCACAAAAACCTAAGTTGTATCAAGTAAATTTTCATATTCTTTGTATCGATCCTGATACAGTCAGTCTGAGACATGATATATGCTAGCTTCTTCGAGCTCTAGCTCCCGTCTTTCCCGTTTTCCCTTTGATATGTATTATTTGCAGTCTATGTAAAAGAGATCAGAGAGTAATAATCAAATTTCGTGCAGCTATATGGATGTTCAATAATATTCCAAGGCCCAAATCAAGATTCGGCCATAGTTCTATTGAGTGTGACTTCTAGAACCTCAGCGCTTGGGGGGAGATCAGCTCCATCGTCATTCTGATCAAAATAAAGCCTCCAAAGCCCTTTGGTGTCTTCCATGCCTAACTCCTTCGCATACATTTCGTCGCGCGGAAGCCGCACAGCCAGCCAACCTTCCCAACCCTGCAATGTGACCCGTGCTTCATCTTTTGTCCAGTCAAAAGGGCCGCAGACATGCCCCTGGCTTTCTTGTCGACCACCCCAACGCACCTCATGAGTCTCTGAATCAACGTAAAGCCAACGCAGAGTCGGAGGTGTTTCACCTGAGATGGTAACAAACCCTGCCGTATTATCGGGTGGAAAGTCGGGGTGTGGATAGAATCCGCCATTAAAGAGTGAAAGCTGTGGACAGTTAGACTTAGTGACATAGACCTGGAATTAAACTGGTTAAGACGAAGGCTTTGTATGAAATCAAATGGGGTGACCTACTTTGCCATCTGCACCCAAGTATACTTGTGCGTTGTGGACTGCCATTCTCTGCTGCAGTTCCCCCTCATAGGATGGACATTGAACCAGAAGATGGGATCGCTGTGCCCGCGCATTTTTCCGCCGCTGATCTTCATGATCCCTGGTGCCTTTAGTCGCCTCATTGACGCCAATCATGGTCGGCACCATTGCCGCCATCATGACGATTCCAAACACCATTTTGACCTAGGACTGGAGGAAGCAAACTTTTTGTGAAATTGATGAATACGCAATTTCGGTATTCCTTAGTCTGTGGGTGGTTAAAACCAAATGCGATGATTTCAACTTCCTTGGGACTTCCTTAGGGTTCTGCCGTGCCAGGTGATGTCACTCAATGCTTATTTAGACCTCCGAGGACTGGTAGAACAAAATTGCTTCCTGTAAATGTAATTGGAATGAAAAGCAACTTCCGCATGCGGCTCGGTCGTTGATACTTAGAATTTCGGAAACCGAGGGAACCATCCGTTGGCCGCCCCCGGGAACCAACCTTAACATTTTTAGAGAAGAATCATTCTCCACCAAGGCGTGGCAACTATAGATTGTATGACTGCATTGATACAATACAAAATAGCGGTTTGACAGAATATACACTGCGTGCTTTTGACGTCTAACCTTCACGTCGGAAATCCCGGCACCTTGAATGACATAAATAGGACCGGAAACTCTGCCATCTTCGTCTAGTTTGCGACTATTTTCCAGTACATCTATTTTATATTGAAGACTTCCCTACGGACATATTACGAGTACAAAGATGGGCGACCCTATCCCCGCATTGAGGTACATTAAATCTCAGCTCACACTCTACACTCTCCTATTATTCCTCTACTTCCAACAGAACCCACCTCTACTAGTCACAAAGGCTAACCCCAAACTCGATGGGTGTAATAGTACCGCTCCCGCAGCCGGCAAGGGAAACCGGCGAAACCGCCAGAACTCAGACGACTCGACTGCGAGCAGTGTCACCGATCCCATTGAGAGCCTTGTCGATCCTCAGACATTGGCCCAGGGAGAAGGCCAGTTGATAGGACCTTCCGCTGCACGTGAGCTCGACAAGAGGAATAAGAAAGACAAGGGCGAGGTGGAGAAGAAGGATGATGGAAGTTTGAATATCAGGATTCACTTGGACCTGCATGCTAAGGTGAGGCTGGATCTGGAGGCGGACCTGTATGGTGATATTGTCATTGGATTATTGTAAAACGATAGCTATGAATCACCATTGGCGTATTTCAACTTCAATTGTATTGTCGAATCTTTAACGGAGACCTCTTGAGAACAGTAGAGATGCGTGTCTTAGCGGCTAGTCCTTCAAACCTAGTCATTTTAACGCTATTCCAAGTCATTTCGGACCTCCGGAAGGGACACTGTCTGTATTTAGGCATGTTTCCTAAATATTTGTCACGGAAAAAGTAGGTCGCCCAATTCCAAGGTCCTCCGGGCGGGCAACAATGGCTGCGCCGTCCCGTAAACGAACCGGAGGGGTGTTTCTATGGAAGCCCGAGACCCAGTTATTTCTAGAAAAACAATCGATGTTTTGAGGAATAATCTGGAGTTATTATATGCTTGTCAAGTGTAGGAGAGAGAATTGTGATAAGAGCGATAAGAATTTTAACCCCGCGGAGGGGCATCAGTTGAATATTCAGTTGAATATTCAGTTATAAGCCAAGTGCAGGTGATGCTATTCGTCTCAATGATTGGATCCTATGGAGCTAGTACCCGGGGCGATGACCGGTGAAAGCTAAACGTGGAATTTCGTTCCTCCTTTTTTTCTGCCCCCACCTCATCCCGCATTCTTCTCACTGCTCTATTGGCATTGCATATTAGACGTACCATTACAAAATGCCCGACAAAGACGCTGGCACCCCCCGTGTCTTCCTCTACCGACACGGTATGTTCCAATAATGCAGTAATATCCACTATTATCTAACCAGTCACAGGCCAAACCGAGTGGTCCAAGAATGGTCGCTACACCGGTGTCACCGAGCTTGAGCTCACCAAAGATGGGGAAAACCAGGTTCTCGCATCCGGCAAGATCATTGTTGGTTCGGGGAAATTGATTGACCCAGCCAACATTGCCCACGTCTACATCAGTCCACGCAGGCGTGCAATGCAGACCTTTGAGATTGCCTTTGATGACGCCGATCAGAAGACCCTAAAAGATGCAGACAAGATCTCCGTGACTGGCAGACTTGCTGAGTGGGATTATGGTTTGTACGAAGGCATGTTGACTAAGGATATCCGTGCCTTGAGAAAAGAGCATGGTCTCGACGCCGAGAAGCCTTGGGATATCTGGCGTGATGGCTGTGAGAACGGAGAGTAAGTCGTTCACGTCTATCCCGTCGCAGTTGACAAATATCTGACTGGCTCGTTCAGGTCCGCGCAGCAGGTCACAGACCGCATTGATAATCTCATTCAAGAGATCCGCGCCATTCAGAAGGACAACATGCACGGAGAGAACCCTTCTGATGTTCTCCTTGTTGCCCATGGTCATCTTCTTCGTGCCTTTACCAAGCGCTGGCTTGGGTATCCCATGGAATTCCCTCTTTCCTTGATGCTTGACCCTGGCGCTGTTGGTGTCCTCAGGTAATGGACCCCTGTTTTCCCGTTTATTATCTAGCTGACCGCTTTTGATTATAGCTACCAACACCACAATATTGACGAGCCTGCAATGATGGTTGGATATGGTTTCCCTGTGCAGGAATAAGTTGATTCGTAGGAATCATGCACATACTGACATGAAAAATCATTGAACATTGATGAACATAGACACAACGCAATATACAATAACTCTGGCTTGGGGTACCTTTGAATACTGACGAGCCTTTTAAGTATTCGTTTTACCAGCCTCTCGAGGGTCTCGTCGAAAGTGGCCACCCGCAACCTCACCGTATCAGTACTTGAACGTAGGGGTACAATACTTTTGAGCAATATCCCCTTGTAAATATGCCTTGAATTAGTATCATTCGAGGTAGAAGTTTCTCCACCATAGCTTTTTACATGTTAGTACCGGTAATAATATTGATAGCTATTAGCTAGCTATTGAAATACCACGGACGGTTGTTTGGTGCGGCACTCAAAGGCTTAGGTCTTTTGAAACATCGTCGAGATCACCCCCGAAAGACGCAAAAGGTCTCCTATGGATGTTCAGAAGTGAAAATGAAAAGCGAGAAATGGTGACGAATAAACCTGGACTCGTCTAATGTCGTCTCGATATCTTCGAGAAGAGACGGTAGGGTACAGGACATCGGTTTTGTTGAAGCACACCCGGGCAAGCAATTGTCGAGCTATCGGCAAACGTGAGCTTGCAGTCTCACAAATAAACTGCCCCCTAATCACACTTTCACTTCCTTCCTTTCTTTTTCCCCTCCACCGAATCATTTCGTCCCACTGCAAACCCATCCCAACGAAACTTCAAGATGCCTAAAATGGTCTGGACCGCTGAGGCTGATGCCCAGGTACGTCTGTCCCTTTCACTCAGATAATACATGATGTCTTACGCATATCAGCTTTTGCTGCTGGTCCTCGACCAGCTGAAAGTCGCGAATTTCGCCCTTGACACTGAACAGCTTGCTGTCGGCATGGGTTCACGTATGTATTCCGCTCTCGCACCATGATCTGATCAAGCTAATACAAATATGGCAAACAGAGTGCAACAAGCGTGGCATTCAGCACCGTCTCAGTGTCCTGCGAAAGCAGGACAAGGAACAGCCTTCCCCTACTAAGGGTGGCTTCACTCCCATCAACTCGCCGGCCAAGCGTAAGGCTGGGCGCCCTCCTCGCACTCCTGCCAAGAAGCAGAAGAACCAGGACAATGATGATGAGACTGATGACGAATTGCTCGGTGTTGTCGTCCAGGGTGATCACCATGATGGTAACTAGGAAGTTCAGTCGCTTACCGCTTCTGCTCTCCCCCAAATTTCCTTTGTGAGAAGGGCTGCGTGAAGTTTTGATCCCCGAAATGTATCTACAAGCTCAGTCTGGTCAGGTAAATCTCTGCTCCATAACACAAATCTTTCAGCTGGAACACGTTATCTTGTAGCAATACTGAAGGCTATCAAACATGAGTAGTAGTCGGTTGTATGCTAGGAGCGAGGTAGTTTACCTGTCCCTCATGCAGTTACAATGTCGTTCATGTTAAAAATCAGCTCTAGAAATTAGCATACAGAACTGACAGAAACAATGTGATCACGTTCATGAGCGCTCTATATTTCGCCATCTGAAGGCGGCATGCAACATTCTGCCGGGAACCAATGACGTACATGTACACAGTTGTTAAAGGACCCAACATCTACCTCTCTCTTCTACCGTTTTACTGCTCAACGACCCCTGCTCACCACTAGTTCAAAGAAATCCACAATGTCAGACCCCATTCCATCAGCAACAGCTGACCCAGACGCCGTCGAGCAACCTCTCCCTGCAAACGCCGAAGACCGCAAAGCCGCCGCCGCCCTCTCCTCCCTCAACACAAATGAAATCAGCACGGAGCCCGCCTCCACTAAGGTGAATACTGCCAATCAGGAGGCTCTAGGGAGGGCAATGAGTCGTTTGGAGATAGCGGATGGACACGATACTGGCAAGAAGGGGACGGCACAGGCAGGGAAGGTTGATGGCGTTGTGAAGAAGCAGGTCGTTAAGGTTGCTGCGGCTGATGTTGCGCTGTTGGTATGTTCGCCATGGAGAAGTCGCTGATCTACTTGGTTACTGATGGTTCGTTTCACATTAGGTGGATCAGCTGGAATTGACTAAGGTCAAGGCTACGGAGCTGTTGAGGGCTCATGATGGTGATGCTGTGAAAGCCATGACGGCGTTTATTTCGCCTTGTATTCGGACATGAGCATTTGTCTGGGTGGTGGTACCTAGCCCAGACCGATACGATCGTTTGTGGAGGTTTCCTTATCATTTTATGACTTTCAAGATGGAACAAGGCAGATTGATAGGCGTTATGATGTATGCATGCTAGGCGTCTTTGTTTTTGTCCGGTCGCCCGTGACCTTCTCTTTCAAATGAATGAATAAGTAATGATCGCGTGTGATAAAATCAAAGTCGAATTATATAAATTAGCTCTATATGTATATTCATTCGGGTATCTGAATATGTACAAATCATTCTTCATCTTCCTCCACTTCCTTCTTTCGTTCAATTCCCTTACCCTCGTAAATGGTGTAGAAAACAGCCCATCCAATCAGGGCCTCAACAGCCAATGCCCACCAGACACCCCCAATCATATTGTTCTCAAGGCCTAGGCCAAGACCCCAACCACCTAGGAATGGACCTAGGGTGCGGGCCGCACTGGAGATACTCTGCGCCACGCCATGAACAGTGCCCAAGACAGATGGATCCGTGACACAGTTATTGACAAGAATAATGGCAGCGGGCAGGATGAATGTCCGCGAGATGACCTGGAAGCTAACGACCAGAGTAAAGCAAGGCCATACAATCCATGGTATGCGCGGAAGAATCACAAGGAATGGCATCAAGATGTATGATAGAGGCGAGAATGGCATGAACAGACGGGCCGAGGCCATTGTCCCGAGCTTTGTCTGTATTTTCGGATAGAGGAAGATCTGCAGCGGCAGACCAACGAAGCCGATGATGGCTGTAGCAAGTCCAACGCGGGAAGACGGGAGTCCCAGTCCACCATTGAAGTGGAAAAGTCCTCTGCGGGAGCCCTCTGGGGCCCGGGGAGTGGGAAGGAAGACGAACGTCATGGAGCCGAAAGCACTCGTGTGGAAGGCAAGGAGGAAGTGAGCCAGCAGGGTCAGGAGGACATTGCGTGTCCAAATCTGTCGGAAGCCTGGGCGTTTGTGTGCCCTGGTTTGGATGCGTGATCGGGCGGGACTTGATGGCACCGACCAGGTCTCATCGTCGTCGAGATAGACAGAGCCATCGTTCCGGGCTCGTGGTAATGGACGGTGGTACTTGCTTGGTCGGGTCAGAGCTCGCTGGATTCGCTTTCCCAGTCTGCGGCCCCAGTCTTTTCTGTATCGTGCGATTTCGTGTGTCTGATGATGTTAGTAAGAGACCGGGTAATCTCATGAATGGGGATATGCTCACTTCATCGAGGCCAAGGAAGACCGCGAGTACTGATGCAAAGATGAAGATTGCACTCAGCACATTGGGCAACGCATACGGCCAGCGCTGCATCCACCAGATACCTTCCTTGCCACCAAAGACCGAATCAGGCCCGAATAACTGCGGAAAGCTGTGGACAGGGTCGGCCAAGGAGCCGCCGAGTATTGGACCAATGATGACACCAATGTTGAAGCACATGGGGAGGAGCAGGAATGCTCGGGATTGAAACCTGAATTGTCAGCTCCTGGCTACAACTTGTGAAAGGATATCGACTCACTTCTTCTCAACAATGATCTCCGCAATTAAAGTTCTCATCACGCCAACATTACTGTTTAATACTCCACCAAGTGTCCGAAAGACCATGGCAGAAGTAAACGACCGAGAAAATCCGAATCCCAGGCAAGATATACAAGTGCCCAGCAGTCCAATCAAAAGAACTCTTTTCCTTCCCATCCATTCAGCATCAGCGAGCCGGCCCCACCAAACAGCAGTGAGAAATTGCGCAGCTGTGAAGCTACCTTGGAGAATACCAGCCTGCACAGTGATTTCCGAGTCCGGTAGGGAAGGATCGAAAGATTTGAGCTGATAGAACATATATGCTTGCAGAGAAGTCTGAGTCAAGGGCTCCGACAATCGAGCAAATGTCAAAATTGCTAGTTGGCCTTTCTTCGGCAGCGAGCTCCAAGTCACCGGCTTTTCCTGGTCTTCTGCTTGTCCCGACATGCCGTCAGGGCCGCCGTCATCATTTTCATCGGATAATAGCCGTCGGCCATTGATTGTCAACGGCGCAGCACCTAATCTCCTCGTGCGGAGTGAGTGGCCTTCGAAGATGGCGGTATCGGCGCTCTCGGAATCACTGTCACCCTCGGTACTCGACAGGTCGGAGATATCCTGAGAAAGAAGAGGTTCGTCTTCTCTCATAAGGCCTTGGCCCACGGGTTGGATTTGCGGAGCAGACCCCATCAACACCGATCCCGGTCTGGGAGGTTGTCACGCGAGCGAGCCGAGACTACGATGTTGTGACGCCGGTCGGTGAGTACAGGGTTGTTTTGCTGTTTTGTTCTTGGCGCAATATTCAGATCGGCAAGAGATGAGAAAAGGTGTGCAAGATAAGAATGTCATTCATCATTCATTATTCATCTGGGCATCGCTCAACCTCCGATACAATCGCGACGCTTTGCCTAATTAGGTTAGATGGTCAACGGACCTCCGAATAGTACATGTTAGGTGGTGAACAAAAACAAAAAAAATCTATGTTGACGCCATTTCTCCCCACACTTACGTATGTATTGGCTAGAGAGCTTACCTGCTGAGAAAATGTTCTAAAGAGTAATTAAAGTACTTAACAATGTCTAGAAGAAAACCGAAGCTAAAGTTAGAGACTAAAAGATATTTTCTCTTCTCTCTTAATGTTTCCTCTCTCCTTAAGAGACTCATCAGCTTTGCCTACGAATATATGATTCTTTCCTCCTTTACTTCTCGATGAATACCTATTGAGTTACTTGTCGGATTGTGTGACCGTTAAAGCTCGTTGTCGAAAACCCCTAAGCTTTGCATGCTGCTAGGGTACAGGTGGTTTGGGGTAGGGGGTGGCGCTAAGTGGTTACTCTACGTCCTAATAACTCTCTTCTATATGCACGTACATAGACAGGATAATGTCTGCCGGGTGGGGCCTTTCCTATCTGGGCTGTCGCCGCTTTATGAGGGCGCTCAGGCTCAGGATCAGTGAGTAGATGTTAGCACGGGCTTAGAATTAGTGATAGAGAGCATTGTTGAACGTCCTCCAGGACCCCAGGTAGCGTCCCAGAGATCCGAAACGCCAATGTACTGGACAAAAGGCCCGGGGTTGCTCCAATAGCTAAAGCCAATCGCGGTGTGGTTAGGGGCTCCGCCACAAGTGATCACGAGAGCCATAATGTTGATGCCGATAATGAGCATGATCTTCAACATAGAAAAACGAAACTCCAATTCACCATAGACTCGGACGAAGAGAGGGGCGGTGACAATCATCAAAACTCCGAAAACGGTGATGAAGGCGCTGTTGGGCAAGTGGCGATCGCTCTTGGAGTGAAATATGTCTGTGGAACTCATGACGAGGGAATACAATGATGATAACTTGAAGTCAAAAGAAAATTCTCTATGCCTTTTGTACACTAGTTTGGCTTTCCGAATTGGGGTTCGTGGTAAATGGGTCCCTCGGTCCCTCAACATCAGAGGCTGATTGGAAATCCAATCGAGACATGATTTCGAGTCTACTGGCATTAGATTTTCCGGTAATTACAAGCACGCCTAAGTTTGAGGACATCGCCCCGAAGCTTTTGCTCGCGCCTCACTGTCGATAGTTCCCAATCTAAGTTTGACGATTTGCGGGGAATCGACAAGGGAACCATGACCTACCTTCAGATAACAAGCTGGCTTTTACAAACGATTCCGGTCCGGCATAGATCAAGCCACCTGGTACCTACTTATCGATGCGAATGAAAAAGGCCGGGGCAAAGGCCTCGGAATTCGATGATTTCTCGCTCCTTCACCCTGGTCCTATCTTCAAGTTGATACAAGCCGAACCCCCTGCAACCACCACGACAGCAAAAATGGGGGACTGGCCGATGAGGGACAACAAATGCAGTGTCATGCTCGAAATGTTCGTCCTGTGGCCGCGAAAAGCCGGTGGCGAGATCCTAACTTACCGGCAGCTTACCGGGTGACATAGCGAAGTCGGACTGGTGGCAATCCAACTTAACCGTAGTTTACCAAAGCGTTTAGCTATGGAATCAATCTAGAACTTACACAGTAGGTTCCTGATTTCCTGATCAGTACCGGTATATCTTAACTTTTTACAGTACCAGTCACGCCCAAAAGCATCCTAACACCCCGCCTTCGCGGCCCAATCATGATAGGTTGGAGCTTCTTGCACCCGCCCTCTTAGGTCGTGACCGTGCTATCGCACATCCGGCGGAAACGAACAATCCAGTGTTGGAAGCCGCCGGAGGAAGACAGACGACGACAACCGGGTACCGGCAGTGCAGCTGAATGAAAGTGTGGAGCCTTCTCTAAGTGCGAAAGGGTGCTAGGTATTAATATGGGACCTAGGTTCATCGAGTTTTTTGTTCGCGTCATTGTTATTCATGCATGAGTCAATCATGGTCTCTCTCAAAGAGGTTTCAAGTGCGATCAAGGATCTCAAGCTCTCCAACGGATCCTCGGAGTTCGGTGGCTCCGGTATCTCGAAATACTTGCCAGTCTCAGACCCTACAGAAAGCTTTTGGCAAACGCAGCACGATGAACTCAAGGATCATCGCTCGACAGAACATCTACCTGAGCATAGCGATGTCGTGATAATCGGCGCTGGATACGCTGGTGTCAGCACAGCTTATCACCTTACTAAGGATCATGGCGATGCCACGCAATCAATCACCATTTTGGAGGCGCGAGGCGCATGTTCCGGCGCAACTGGTCGAAATGGCGGCCATCTAAGACCAGATCTTTATGGTCATATTCCGACATATGTCGATCGCGCTGGCCTGCGAGCGGGCGCTGAGATAGCCGAATTCGAGATTGCCCACGTCAAGGTCATCAAAAAATTGATCGAAGAGGAGAAAATTGATTGTGATTTTACCCTTACCAGGTCGATTGACGTCTGGTGTAATGAAGAAGCCGCGAATAATGCGAAAGCCATCTATGATCAATTGGTGGCATCTGATTTGGAATATATGAATGATGTTATTTTCCATACTGGTGAAAAGGTCGAGAGTGTAAGTGATAGCTGCCTCGTGAACGATCAAATAGAGAAAACTGACCGTCATAGATCTGTGGAGTAAAGGGTGCCATAGCATGTGCTTCATACACCGCTGGCACCATCTGGCCATACAAATTCATCCTACACATCATCAAGTTGGCACTTGCGACGGGCAAAGTCAACCTTCAGACGTATACTCCGGCAACTTCAATAACACCCGATCCCAAAGGTGGCTTCATCATCGGCACCCCACGTGGGCAGATACACGCCAACAAAGTCGTCCATGCGAGCAATGCCTATGTTCCGGGCCTACTGCCAGAATATGAGAACAATATCGTCCCCTGTAAGGGAATCTGCTGTCGTATATCCGTTCCAGAGGGAACCACAGTCCCCCTTCTCAATAACTCTTATATCAACCGAACCAAGGATAAGGTGCTCTCGTATCTCGTCCCGAGAGCCGATGGTAGTATTATTGTCGGCGGTGCCGCCGCAACGTTCTACCCTTACCGGGACCAATGGTACAACAACGTCGACGACAGTGTCCTCATTGAAGCCGCCAAGGATTATTACACGGGCTACATGCAACGAACCTATCGAGGCTGGGAGAACACCGGCGCAAAGGTCGATAAGATTTGGACCGGGGTGATGGGCTATTCATACGATTCCAACCCCCATATTGGCGTTGTTCCGGATAAGCCAGGCCAATTCATTCTCGCCGGCTTTAATGGCCATGGTATGCCGGTAATCTGGTTGGCAGGCAAGGAGCTGGCAAAAATGATCGCACATAATGTTCCATTTGAGCAGACAAGTCTGCCAAGATTGTTCAAGACAAGTCAACTACGGATAGACAGAGCAAGGGACGGGAGAGAAGAGGATGGGGATATTCTGGGCACCGGGTCGTATTTTCGCTCAAAGGTAGTGAGCAATTTTGGCTGAGAGACGGAGTGAAGAACAACTGTGATTTTTGAATTGCGATCGTTATAACAGATGCAGAAGCGCCTTATATATATAGGAATAACCACATGAACCTTTTGCCATGCTGTAACCAGGCCTATACCTTTCACTTGTGCTCAATTTGTCTGTCATTTACCTGTTTTGTCTGTTACAACGACGATACCAGCATACCAGCATTCTAGACAGACGCTACCGACGCTACCAACGCTACAGCACATTTCTGCCCGCGCTTCCCTCTTCTCTTCTTTCTCTTGTGCTGAGTTTTCTCCTCAATAGCTACTATAGGTAAGGAATAACCTATCTTGGGTTGAGCTTAGCGTGACATATTCAAACAGTTCTTGCGTCATAAATAGCCTCAAACACACAGAAATCGCCCAGAATATGCATCCTAGCATCAAGTCCGTTGATTATTAAGCAGGAAATCGACGGTTTGATGGACGTGCAGGACAAGAAAAGGAAGATGAAGCTAGAAAGCCTAGAAAGCCGATAAAAATTGATCAGATGCTCTATGCATTGTCTCCTAACCAAACTAGTTTAGAGCTTAGTGAATCGGCTGTGTGGATCTTAGTGGCATTTTCTTTGACACAAGGACTATTGTTGGCTTTTCTTTTCTTTTTGGCGTTTTTGGAAAGAGACCTGATATTTTGTTATGACGATGTTGGACTACCAGTGGATGGTTTAACCCCGCAGCCTACCGCGGGAAGCGCAGGTCCTGTTCCAGCACAGAACTGACCGCCGGAGATTGCTAGTCACCGGATACTACCGGCCGCCAAATCCATTCTAGCCACGCGAGACCATACCGGCTTTCATTCCACCCCATATCTTTCTTTCGCTAAGCATACCGAATGGCTGGCTAGGTCATCTCCTCGCATGGCCAATCTCATAAACCCCATCTCATGGTCCTTCGTCCTTTGCAACTTCATAACGCAACAACATTTGAGCTACCTCTAGCGGAACGCCAGACTGTCTCCCAAAACCAAATTGCGAGATTCATCTTCCGCCATTTCTCCGTTAGTCCTAATCGTAGACACCACACCAGTCAACAACCTCGGCTTGCCCACAAAACCATGTTGTCTTCGACGTGGGCCTACCTTGACCGCATCGACAAGCGTAGTATCATTCCAGACACGGCTAGTAGTTGAATGAAAATCGCGTAAGGTCTCTCAAGGTCTACTCTACTAGGTAGCTGTGTAGCCGTAGGGGCTGAGAGCTAGGAAATAAGGGCTGAAGTCGCGCACCGAGTTCTTCTTGCGACGGTAATTTAGCAATAATATCTTCAAGCTTACGCTTCTTTGCAGCCATGATTTATTAATTGATTATAGGGAATTCCTGTATGATATCCGCCATTTGTGGAGGTGAATATGAACCTGATCCTCCAAGTGGTACGATAAGCCGCAGCCTAATTACGAGGCCTATTGGGGATGACAACTCATAATCTATCTTATAGTCCCGACCTTAATTACACCTCTTCCAGTAGAAAAGACTCCGAGAAGACTCGGCTAATCACCGATAATACATCGTATCATCAAACAGTAAGCCTTAGAGCTTGATTGTATTTGGACTGTTACTTCGCGTTAGCAAGGTTTGAATTTCGATTTCAAAAAGAGGATATAAATGTACTGACATCACCGCAATACATTCGATCTCTACGTCAGTCCCAGTTGGTAGTTGCTTGACAGCGACACATGTTCGACTCTACTTCCAGTGAGTGTCCACAGCTGCCTTATTTTGCGAGACAACTTACTGGACGTGGGTTAGTCTGGCTGAAAATTTCTTCGTAGACTTTGTTGACTTCATTAAAATTTGCCATGTCGGTTAGAAACACGGTACACTTCACGACATGAGACAGTGAAGAGCCTCCTTCCTCTAAAATCGCTTCCAAGTTGCGAAGAGCTTGTTCCTGTTGTCTTGTGAGAAACCTAGGAGGAACTCAGTGCTTAGCATGGGTGGCAACATGAAAACCTACAGCTCGTTTGCCAATCCTTCCTTGCACAGCCTTTTTCGTCACAGGATCCACTCCTAGAGCGCCTGAGGAGAAGATAAGACCGTTGACGATGATAGCTTGGGAGTTCGAAGGGCGAGGCGGGGGAGCTCTCGATGTGAGAATAGCAGCACGCTTTGGGCTAGACATCTTGAGAATATTCTTAAGGTTGGGCAGTATTGGACGCGCGATAAGATATGTCAACATTTTTGACTAAAAGAATAACACGCTTTATATAGAGATGGCGGTCCCAAGCTCTCTAAGCACCCCGGGACTAATTCTGAGTTCATCTCCAACCCGTGAAATTGAAAGGAAAACAGGGCTGTTGTAAGCGAAGTACGGGCAAGTGTCAAATGCCAATCAACCAGATAGCTCTGCGTAACCGGAGAGTGTTGGACAGCCGAATGTGGCCGGCCGGAAACCTTAACCCTACCGGATACACCGGCATGCACTGGAACCTCAACATGAGCGGATAGGTAGGGCGTACTTACATTGTAGACGACGGTGGAAAGCCCGGTCAATGTTCCTTTGATCCTTTTTTATGGAATACCTATAAGGAAAGCTTGAAAGGTAATTTTGTAACCTACTACCGGATTCGGTAGTTGACTCCAACGTGGAGCCAGTGTAAAGTGCTAAACATAAGCGACGGTCTGGGGTGCTTGGCGAGCTTTTGATAAAGTTACCAGCAGTTGACATATTTTCACTCCCGCTCTTTTCTTTCTCGAACATCCTTGGCTTTTCCGCTTCCACTGGGTTTTTCAAATTTCACATCAGCTCGTTCTTTGAAGACTACCTAGGCGATGAACATGGGGAACGAGAAAACAATAGTAGTGATTGGGTAAGCAACCTTTTACTCCTATGTTCACTACGCTACCGCGAGACTGGTGACAAGTTAACCCACGGATCTGCCACGTTGACATGTTTCTTCAAGAGCCGGTGTCCTTGGACTTACCACTGCGCTTAGCATTCAACAAAGACTTGGACGCCCATTTACAGTCCTGCTCATTGCTCGGGATTTCCCTGGTTCTACCTCTGTCAACTATGCATCACCATGGGCTGGCGCTCACTATCGACCAGTCCCAGGCCAATCCCCACAAATAGCCACGGAGGCGCAATGGGCGAAAAGAACCTACGAAAGTTTTAAAAAGATCGCCGCTGAAGAGCCTGCTGCAGGTGTCACCTTTTTAGAGGGTATTGAACATTTTGAAAACCCTCCTCCTGAGTACCTTGACGTCGTTGGAAATCCGGATAGTCCTTATGCCCACCTAGATGGACTTCACGAACTGTCAACGGAAGAACTACCTCCTGATGTCAAGTTTGGCATCCGTTATTGGACCTATTGTGTGAATTCGCCAGTCTATTGCGCCTACCTTCTACGTAAATTCATATTGAAAGGCGGGAGAACTAAAAAGTTCACCCTCATCAGTCCTATGGAAGCCTTCCACCTTGCTAACAACGTTATCCTGGTGGTCAATTGCTCCGGCTCAGGGTTTTCAGACCCGACATCATATATTATTCGTGGTCAGCTTTGTCCTATATTACTGTTATTAGAAGAACGGGGACTGATATCTTTTAGGTCAAACTTGTCTCGTTCGTAATTCTTGTCCGGTAACGATAACGAGACAGAACTCTGATGGATCGTGGTCTTTTTGTATTCCTCGCCCTCTAGAAGGGGGAACGATAATTGGAGGCACGAAAGAAGTCAATGACTGGGATCCGGATGCACGTCTTGAAACGCGAACCAAGTTACTTCGGGATGCGTCCAAATGGTTTCCATTTAGTGATGGTGACCAGGGTGAGTTTGACGTTATACGTGATATTGTTGGCCGACGGCCGGCTCGCCGGGGTGGTGTCCGGTTGGAATTGGAGAAGTTGGCTACATATCCGGAAAAGGCTGTACTCCATGTGTATGGTGCTGGTGGTCGTGGTTATGAGCTCTCTTGGGGGATTGCGGAAGAAGTCACAACGTCCTTCCTCAGAGACGGTTTTCGTCGGCCTATGCCTTCTTTGTAATACGCTACTTTGCTTAGGAAAACAGAGCCCTTCTGCCAGGAAGGCTCTGCAAATTTGCAGCATAGTATAAGAGGTTTTCCTGTTTTCACCTACATCGACCGACGACTAGTTTTCACTGTTCTACATCGTGTTCTCATTATCTAACCAAGTGTATCATTATGGTTAGATTCTGGTTCCGTGTTAAGATAGAATCTCTACTTAACAGGGTAGAGAGCCTGTCAGTCGGGTAAGGAAGAAAGCAACGAGTCAATTGTGGCAAGACTGTTTCTTGAGGAACTCTCAAGAACCAAAATGAACCATTCTATTTAACAGAGTCTACTCGGAGACCCTCCGTGTCCGAAGTAGTCTACTTTGAAATCAAAACGAGGGGCATGTATGAGAAGGATTAAGCTGTGTTGGTATCACCCAGTTCTTGGGGCGCCATGACTTCGCGACTCCCTTGTCAAAGGAATTAACCACAAGGGTGCGTCCTCTCAAGCTTTGAAAACTGTAGAGAGATGTTAGCTTGCGATCCGAGCAAGCCTTCGGCACCGGTGTGTGTGAGCAGAAAGCCATGGGTATTACGGAGTACAGTACTTACGAGCAGGTTGTTCCCGGTCGCCGGATAGAAGGAACTTTAAATCTTGGCAGCCGGTTCCCTCAGCATCAACTCCGGGAGCTTAAGCACCCGGAACATGATCAGATAGCCGGAGCGAACACAGGACAAACCTTAACTTCCAGTTAGATCATCTATCGAACAATAAAACGAATAACCGGAATACGCAGGTAGTAATGGCGCCAGTGTTACTTCACAATCCGGAGACGCAGCCCTGTTGGGCGAACTATCTACTCCGGTGTTGTATATAACCTCTGTTGCCAGACCCCGGTAGCCCACCCAATTGCCACTGGTGATTAAAACGACATCTATCTCAATTCCTCCCCCACAATGGCTCAGGAAATGTACACACTGCCCTTCAAGGTACCTCATAGCACTTCCTCATTCCTCTAAAAATACCATTAAACGACCAAGCTGACCTCTCGATGTTCCAGTTGGACGATCCCAGTCTGCTGCACTTTGACTCGTACGTCAACAACCGCTGGGTGAAAGCTCAGTCCACGAAACAGTTTGAAGTTACCGGTAGGAGGAGTTTATCCTATGTTGTGATTTCTGACTCCTCACTAACTCTCAAATAGACCCGGGCACTGGCGCTAACTGGGCTAGCTGCCCCGATAATGGTCCGGAGGATGTGCCTTCCGCTGTAGAGGCCGCCCACTCCTCGTTCCTCGAGTACCGCAAACAGACGCCGCGTCAACGAGCGCAGCTGCTGATGAAATGGCACACCCTTATCGTTGAAGCCCGAGACGATCTTGCAAAAATCCTCACTCACGAGACTGGCAAGCCACTTGTTGAGTCTTACGCGGAGCTTGACTACTCTACTGGCTTTACCTGGTGGTTCTCAGGCGAAGCCGACCGCATTCAGGGAACCGTGTTCTCGCCATCAATGCCTGGTCGCCGCGTCTTTACAGTCAAACAACCCATTGGAGTTGTTGCTGCGTTGGTTCCTTGGAACTTCCCAATTGCTATGGTGCTCCGCAAAGCTGGTGCTGCCCTGGCGGCTGGCTGTACAATAATAGTGAAACCTAGTCCTGAGACCCCGATTACCGTGTTGGCTCTCGCGCACTTGGCTGAGAAAGCAGGCTTCCCCCCCGGGATCTTCAACGTCCTTACTACAAGCCTTGACAACACGCCATCCCTCAGTGAGGCGCTTTGTAAGCATGATCTAGTTAAGAAGGTTACCTTTACAGGATCGACAAGGGTGGGCAGGTTGATTGCTGCGCATTGCTCGCATGGACTGAAGAAGGTCACTCTCGAGCTTGGAGGAAACTGCCCCTTCATTGTCTTTGAAGACGCGAATATGGAACAGGCCATCACCCAACTGCTGGCGCTAAAATGGCGTCATGCCGGTCAGGCATGCATCACAGCCAACCGGATCTTTGTTCAAAGTGGCGTCTACCAGAAGTTTACGCAGATGCTCAAGGATAGAGTCAGTAGTGCTCTGGTTGTCGGCCATGGTGCAGATGAAGGTACGACCATGGGCCCTCTGACGACTCCCCAAGCAGTCAGGAAGGCGATAAGCCATGTTGAAGACGCATCTAAGCGAGGCGCAAAGGTGGTTCTGGGCGGAAAACAGATCAAACCTCCCTCATGTGAGGGAGGCTACTTTTTCGAGCCAACCATCATGACGGACATCACCTCAGATATGCTTGTTTTCAAGGAGGAATCGTTTGCCCCTATCGCGTCACTGTGCAAGTTTGAAACTGAGGAAGAAGCCGTCCAGACGGCGAATGACACCAGCATGGGCCTCGCTAGCTATGTCTTCACCAAGGATGTCAACCGCTTGTGGCGGATGTTCGAGAACCTCGAAGCTGGCATGGTAGGCCTTAACACGGGCAACCAGTCTGCAGCTGAGACTCCGTTTGGTGGTATCAAGCAATCTGGCTATGGCAAGGAGAGCGGCAAAGATGTCGCTGTCAACGAGTTCCTTATAACCAAGACCGGCACGTTGACCGTTGAGGATCATTTCTGATCGTTTCCTCCAGGATAGGGAATATAAATATGTATAGCTATAGCTTTACAGAAAACTACTTAGGACCTAGGTGTGTTGATTATCTTGATACATAAGGATTTAGCTTTACCCTATACCTCTATCCCTTTAACTTGCGCTCTTAGCGTCTTCTCCTCAGATGGAACTCCGGTAGGTTGGGTCCATAGATCCTATTCCACTCGCAATCCCAAGGTAAGAAAATAATCTGGGGTCAGGATCCGAGAGGAATCCATTGAGTACCGACATCTCAGGATGCAATGTTGTATTTGACGCAGACGCAGGCATAGTTCCTTCACTGAAAAGGGCCAGATCAGAGGCAGAGTAGAACGGCCGAAGGGGGTACAGATTTGCGTCACAGTCTGGCCCGGAAGACACAGGGTTGTCCTTACTGCAGTTGAGTGTCCTCGTCGAGAAATCACCTTGAGGCTCATGGTCAATAGTATAATGACTGTGCTGTATGCCCGATACCAAGGTTTGGGGAGCCAGAGGATGGGCGGAACTGCCATACAGAGAGGCGACACTGTCGCATGTACTAGTATTCCCTTTCCAGATCGACTCCCATTGTTTGAAACCCCCATAGCCGGAAGCAAAATCTGCCGGAGCCAATGCTGTATTCTCGTCATCTCTGTGCGGTTGCGTATTGAAAAGGTGCAACCGGGCAAGGGCACGCTCAAGTGCCTCAATCAGCCGAACCTCCGATCGGGCTGAGTCTCCTGATGCCGACATTTCACGGATCATATCTAAACCATCCCTTAAGTATCGGCGAAATGGGTCGGATTGGTTCTGGATTGAGTATGCAATCAACACAAGAAGTGCTGCCCGGCATGAGCTGTACTCTATGTATGATGCTCTTGCCAGTCCCGGCCCGTTGTCCCTCAAGGATCTACAAATATCAACGGCTTCCTTTGCAGTTCGGATACAGCATTCGACTAGTTCCTGGTGATCTGAGTTCTGCGTTTGGGTGCCATCTGTCGGCGATGTACTGTCACGACCGACTTCTGAACTGTTGGGTCCTGGCTGAGGTATGGCGCGACTAAAGAGAAATGGTCTTCCGATAAACATACGGAGCAAGCAATACTCAAGCCGAACGTACATCCTGGGCCGGAATTGCGCGTCCGGTTGGGATGTTTCATCGCGTACTTCGCTTGGTAGTGCCGCCCACCAGGCTTCTAGTTCGCTCTTTTTCGTTAACAAATGGGAGATAATCCTGGGCAGGTACTGCTTCTGGCAATTCCGCAGTTGAGAGCTACAGCCGTCAAATTGTCAGTCCAAAAGAGCGGTCCCAACTTGGGAGAGTAGTGTTGCACATATCAGGCCCAACTTACATTTCGCTAAAGAATTCCTCTAGTCGTTGAGTTAGGTAAATAGAGATGGCCATATAGTTGAACGTTGGAGTTGGACTCATATCTCCCCAATTGTTAGGTAGTTGCGTGTCGATATCAGACCGATTCATTGCAAGAGGTCGACCATGAAAAATGGATATCTTTCTGAAAGGGAGCATGCTCAGAACTCATTTTCTTCCTCAAGGTTGGGTTATCACTATACCTTTCTAGTGTGTAGGCGGTCCACCAGACACGGTTCCTTGTTTCAATCAGCGCAGCACTAAGGGCGTCATCAGCGCACTTTCTATGCATGCCATTCTGCATAGCCAGTCGAATGGCCAGGTTGATATAGATATAACCCAGACCGGCGGCATCAAGTGGAAGTGAATACGCCGCAAAGAGCAAACAAGCTTGCACACTTTCCAAAGAAGACGACTCAATTATCTCGGGAAGGAGCCTAACTGCCTCCCGATAGAACATGGTGCCAAGTTCATCTTCTGAAAATTTTGGTGCTGAACTATTCCTTGCTTCGTTATGGCCAGAGGAATCAAGATACGCATACTGGGTTCCGATGGCAAAGATGGTAAGAATGATGCTGACTGTTGCAGCGTCTTTCATTCCAAACTCCGAATGATTAGCATAGAGAACGTTCAGTTTGCCAAGGAGCCAGGTCTTTTCGACATAGAAGTAGTGTGTTTCGGCGTACTTGAAAAAGACACAGACCAAAAAGTCCGCTATATGGCGGGGCGGGATGCATGAAGTTACGGCTGCAATGATAGTTGAGGCAGGGCGCAATTGTTTTGCACGCCAATACGACCAGGCTTGATCGTGGCCTTCAGATTGCTTATCCGTGGGATGAGCGTCAGCCGTAGGGTACCAAGGTACATAGTTCTCAACCATCACAACGTACCTGAGCAATTGAACCAGCAAACCGATCCTCAACCATCCGTTTAATCCGCATAGAAAAATTCCAGTAGGAGAACTCTCCTGAGTAATCTGTACCTAAATCAGCTTATTCCACAAACACCGCGCAAAGGGAACGAGATGATACGAACGAGTAATAGTATCGTCGACCGGATTAATTGTACAAACTTCATCTTCAATCTCAAGTTCCCCCTCTTTAAGGGGTGAGACCGTGACATGATCGTCCTCGTCGTCCTCCAATTCAGCAAGCTCGTTGGCCAGCTGGGATAAGCTGCTCGTATCCAACGGAATCCCACCAAGCTTGCGTTCCCATATGAACTCCATGTATGTCATCCGCTCAACTAATTCTGCCGAGTTGGCGAATTCGCCATCGGTCTGCGTGGCATCTTTGAATCGGCAGAGGCGTCGGAAACGAACGCATCGTGTGCAGGGTTGTCCGCCTTCACATTTTTCTTTCAGTCTCCGGCATTGATCGCAACTTGGTTCCAGGTAACTAGTCAATAAAGCGTTTCAGGTGATTGTCATTACACAATACTCACGCTCGTACTGCACGTTTCCGCGGTGCCTGTTTTGCAGTCTGCCGCCGCTTTGCTTTTCGCAACCCCTCATTTCCCGCCTGTTGTTGACTGGGGATACTGCTCATATCTGTCTGGATTAAAGTAAGGGGTAATGAGATAATTGGTGCGACTAGGGATAACGTGCCATTCTTAGGTATTTAATTATTCCCCAGAACAGAGCGGCAACCGGAGCACGGGTTATAAAACCTCACGTGATGCTGTTAAACAGCAGCTAAATCTTCCCTGCCGCAAGTTGCGCACAATATGATTGTCTTACCACTGCCTTCGAAAACCATGAAACCGACCATCATCTTCAAACTCTAAACACACAACCATCGGGTTCCTATAGGAGTCTAGAAGCGGGGGTACTGGCCATATGTGGGTCAGTTTTACGGCGAACTCTAAATAGGTTCTGGATCACAGTCAATAGCGCCATCTGCAATAACCAGCTTTGGCATACTTATGGTTGTCACAGCGCTGCTGTTTGTGCGCGTCTATGGACAACTCGAATTGGATTCTCGATGCTGAAGATTAGGTTGATCGTTGGTATCAACATTATGCTTTTGGTTATTGCCTGTGACCGAGGGCCAAACCACAAAACTACCGGCTTCGAATATTGGAAGGCGCCCTACGGCCCCTTCGTCCAATATCTCAACATCCACGGGTCATTAGGTCGATTCCTAGGTTTTTGGGCCACATTCAGCAACGCCTTTTATGCGTATTCAGGCATAGAGAATATCACCGTCGCTGCTGCGGGGACTAGATGCTCCCGACAAGCTATTCCAATGGCCGCACGACGTATCTTCGTCCGTATCTTGCTATTCTATGTTATTACCATTTTCATGGTTGGACTTGTTGTGTGTTCTGCCAACCCTAACCTACTCCGTGACTCTGGCACAGCGGCTCAATCTCCTTTCGTCATTGCCGCACGAGATGCTAGTATTAAGGTGGTACCATTAATCATCAATGCCGTCGTCCTTAGCTCTGCTTGGTAATCGCTCCGCGGGTCCCGGATTTTATACGGAATGGCTGTTTAGGGCCATGCTCCCGCAATCTTCAAGCGCATCAACCGCTTCTCTATCCCTTACGTTGCCGTTAGTCTTTATAGTATCTTTATGGTCCTAGACTTCATGAGCCTCTCTAGCTCCGCGAGCACAGCTTTTACTGGCTACAGGACCTTGTCTCTATTTCTACGATAGTGAACTAGATCTGTATCTGCGTCGTCTACCTCCGGTTCCTATACGGATGCAAGAAGCAAAGAATTGACCGGAAGAAAGAGCTTCCCTGGTAGCTCCATTCCAGCCCTACTCGACGCGGGTCTCCTTGTTCGTATTCATTCTACTATTCTTTACTAGAGGATACTCGACTTTTATGAGAGGGCATTGGAGTATGGAGACGTCTATCTCGCCTTATTCCAACCTGCCTTTTATTGTTATTGTAAACTTTGGATACAAGTTTTGGAATGAAGACGGAGATCATCCCCCTGGCGGACATTTCCATTCGACCTTCTATTGAGCATTATCAGCAAAACCCCGAGCCCCAGCCGGTACCCAAACGTGGGATTCAGAGGCTGAATATCTTATGATCTTAATGTTGGTAAATACATCGTTGAATATCTCGCAAATGCAATGCTTTTTAAATCATGATATCATTACATAAACATCTCTAGTACACAAGCCAACAGTCTACTCATTGTCGCATCGGAGAACCATAGGTTGATCTAAGGAGAGGATAGTCACAGTACATAGTGAGTATTTACATAAGACACCTGTCTAGTTACCAAGCTATTGTCTTGTCTTCTCCACTCTACTCCGTAGGCAAGCCGTCCCCGGGCCTGAAGTAGATGATAAGCAGCATTGACAAGCAATCCGGCGTTTTAATTACCTAGGAAGGGGCTGAATATCAAGGTCCCCGCAAATTTACCAGACCCTTCTTGATCCTCTCCTGTGCCCAATCATCCCTAGTCCGGGCCGGACTTTCCCTATTGGGGATAGTGAGATCGTGGTTATCACGATAGCAGTTGGGGTGCTATTGTGAGTATTTACGGGCTTCCAGTGCAGGGGAGTTTTAGTGAGACCCGAACGATTAGTTTTCTTAATTCACGAAATACTCTTCACTGTATGCTTTTCTGGGTTACACTCAAACTCTGTAATTGGATCAGAAAACATTAGTATACCATCCTCTCCGAGTCTCCGTAATCCCAATCTCTTCTTGAACGAGCGACAAGACACACGCTTTCCAAACCCCACACACATCTTGATAGCGATTGAGCTCCTACTCAACACCTACAACCACTCCATTACACGCTTACAATGACCGCTCAATAGCACGTTGTATTCGACGTGGTCGATACATGCGTCTCCTTTGACGCCTTCTACGATGGAATTGACAAGACCATCGGCTAGAAGCTGAAAATCCAGAACAACACAGCCCGGTCTTTCAGGTGCGCGTGGATGACTGGTGCCGAGCTCGAGTTCACTCTTCTCTCCATCTCTGAGCGCTACAAGCCCTATAAAGAGATCACGTCTGCCCTCTTCTACCGCACACTATCCATGATAGGTGTCGAGGACCCGCGTGCCTTTGCCACTAACGTAGAGCGAGTACCAGTGTGCACGGGGATACTCGGAGCTCGAACTACGCGGTGGAACCAAAGACTGCTTTGCCAAGCTGCGCGCTACCGGCTTCACCGTCTCTTGTCTGACGACTAGAGACACCAAGCGCGTGCGTGGATACTTCGAGCGTGGCGGGGCGATATGCCGCTCGAGATCTTTATTAGCTGTGACACTGCTGGGGTGGCGAAGCCGGCGCTGGCCGCGTATAGGCCGGCTGTGGTGCAGTTTAAGGAGAGGGATGCGAAGTGGTTTGCGGCCGCGCACATGTGGGATGTTACGACAGCTGTGAAGGTAGGGTTCCGGGGCGCTTATTGTACTGTTTATGAAAAAGAGCCTTGCGCGGATATCTTAGATGCCGAGTTGGAGGTTGTTGCGGATTCCTTGCCTGATATGGCTGACAGGATCATTGCGGCTTCACGTTGAGAGAGAGTGTAAATTCAATGAAATCAAGTAAAAGGTGTATAATAGTACATGGCTACGTATAAAACGGCCCATGAAAAGCAGTTCAATGCTCGCCTATGTCCATGCCGTGTGCTATCCCATATTCTGGATTTGTGAGAAATTGTTCCAGGACTTGTGTCTCGGTCCAGATAGGCCACGTAGCTGAGGGGAATGTATTCTCAGTGCCGAAAAGTGGGATTTCAACAAGCGGGTCGAGAGATCCGAGCATGCCCATATCACAATCTGACGCAGAAAAAAGTCCCTGACCGCAATTCGTTTGCATGATGCGGTCATAGGACTGGGCATCAAATGAAGACTGATCATGAGAAGGATTTGTGGCAATATCAGCTGCCTCAAACATGACACCTTCTCTCAGCGTAGCTCCCCAGTGCTTGAAAGCCTCATACTCTGAAATGGAATAGGCAGACGGGGCCATAATATTACCCTGCTGAGGCTGCTGGGCCCCTGTGTGGAGACGTGCAAGTGCACGCTTGAGTGATTCAATTAAGCACACCTCAGATTGAGCCGACTCTCCAGCAGCTGACATGTCTCTAATCATGCCTAACCCGTTGTAAAGCAGTTTATTTCTTTGAAATTGCTCCGAGGGATTTTGTATCGAGAAGGCAATCAGCACGAGGAGCGACGCTCGGCATGAGCTATACTCGATGTACGAAGCTCGTGCTAGACCTGCTCCACTATCTCGTAGTTCCTGGCAAATTCTCAGTGCCTCCGTTGCTGCCTCGATGCAGTCATCAATGAGGTCCTTGCGACTCGACGAATGCTTAAAACCTGCACCGTTGGAGGTAGTGTGGCTTTCGTCAGGATTGTTCTCCGAATACGCTGGAGCGTTATTCGTTGAGTCTGAATACTCTCTTCTCAGCAGAAACGGTCGTCCGATAAACATCCGAACCAGACAATATTCTAGCTGGAGGTGCATTACTGAGCGAACGTGCGCTGGCGGCTGCAAGCTGCTATTCACAACCTCTTGGGGAAGAGAACTCCACCACTCTTTCATTGCCGCTTTGATAGTCAAGAGGTGAGTAATGATGGTTGGGATTTGTTGTTTTTGGCAACTCCGAAGATTGTTTCTATCATAATGTCAGACTTTTGATGCATTCTTTCGCACTGCGTCAGGGCTGGGACTTCACATAATATTGTGACTTACACTTTATGAAACAGGTCCTCAAGAAAATGGACCAACTTGATCGATGCGTCTGTGCGCGCGACACTTGCGTGAGTGTCATTAAATTCCAAGGTCGATTGGTATAGAGGAATGGTCGCATCGACATCGTTTCTAAGCACTGAGAGCGGCCTGCCGTGGAAGATGGAGATTTTTCTGGCACCTGTTAGCATGCCTGCTTCAACTTAGAAGTAATGACAGACCTTTCAAGTAAATATGCTGTCCACCAAACACGATTGCGTGTCTCGACCATGGTTGCATCAAAGGCATCGTTCTTGCATCTTCGGTGCATACCATTCTGCATGCCGAGTCGAATTGCAATATTGACGTAAATATACCCCAGCCCCGAAGTGTCAACAGGAAGTGCATAATAACCAAGGAGTAGACAAGCTTGAACGCTCTCCAAGGAAGATAACTCGATGATCTCCGGTAGTAGATGGATCGCTTGCTGATATAATGTTGCATCGATGTCTTCCTCTGAAAGGTTTTGCCGTGACGACCCGCTCGAATTATACGTCGAAGATTCGAAGTGTGCATATTGAGACCCGATCGCAAATACAGTCAGGAGGATGCTGATAATCGCCTCGCCTCCCTTTTTGGCAAAGCTACCAGAGTCGCTATAAAGAAGATTCATTCGTTCGAAAAACCAGGTTTTCCCAACGAAAAAGTAATGAGTTTCGGCATACTTGAAAAAGTTTCTTGTCAGAAACTCGGCAATTGGACCAGGGGGGCAGCATGATATTGCCGCCGAGAGGCGATCACGTCCTGGACGCAACTGATGAGCTCGTGGAAAGTCCCACACCCCGCTAGGACCACTTATATGCTGTAGCTCCTTGGTTAGATAAACTTCTAAATTGTCAAAAATATAAGATGGCGAGTGGAGCATACAGAACCCTCCAGTCCCCCCATTTGCTGTTCCATGTGACGCTTCAGTCGCATGGAGAAGTTCCAATATGAAAACTCCCCGGAGAAGTCTAGTCAATATCAGCAGTTATATGATTTCACTAGGGGTGTCAGTTCACTAACGTGTAGTATTATCGCCTACTGGGTCCATTGTACACGCCTCGTCATCTATCAGTAGTCCTTCGACTTCTTTGGCGTCCGAACCAACGCAAGCACCATCGCCATCGGCGTCAAGAGCTTCCGCCATTCTGGCTAGGCTATTTATATCAAGTCTAATACCTTCAATGGTACGTTTCAATATTCGCTCCATATATTGCGAGCGGTCGATCAGTTCTTGTAAGTCAGAACTCGTCATTCGTTCCCTGTATATTTTAGCTGGCTTGCACCCCGAGGAATGCACCATAGCTGCCTACCGTGGAATATATGGCCTAAATTCACGTGCCTTTGATGCTGGCCCTCTAAATTCGCATACACGCTGGAAGTGGGAGCATCTCCTGCACGGGGAACCACCTTCACACTTTTCTTTCGCACGCCGACACTCATCACATCTGCATGCAAGATGTCAATCACGAATCACACGCCTGCAGTTCAAGGTATCACTTACGCTTGAACTGCACGTTTTCGGGGGTCCATAACTCTGCTATGGTTTGGCAGTAGAGTAGTCTCACACGAAGTACGCAGGAGATGGCTGGAATGCGGGGTTGATCCGGTTATACGGTCGGTGATAACTGGTACGGAAATTGTTGGAACACTAGTCCATACCGGGTCATATTGAAACTGCGAAATGGAAAAAAAAAGAAAGCAAGCTTGCTACGACCGGGGTTCGAACCCGGGTCTTCCGTTGTAACCATAATGGGAGAAATGGGAACTGAGAAATAAGCTTACGTGCAGGAAGCGGAGGGGAAGATGATAACTAACACGAAAATCCTAACCACTAGACCATCGTAGCTGGTGAATACCAAGTTCAGTAGGTAGGAGTTCCTTAGGGAGTATACCCACGCAGCAAATTGATACAAAATGATCAGCGTGAACCATAGGTGAAATCTGGGGTAACTTATCCGTATAATACAGCGTGGATCGAAATCAGTTTCACCACTCTGCTCTCATAGAATTTTTCTCGAACCCTATTCCGAAACACGCTAATCCATTTCGGACTTGATTCGGTTGCAAATACTGAGTCTATTGAAAGTCATTAGATGTTCTAGCCCGCTATAGCCTAGTACAGCGAGTGCAAGGAGAGTGGCCTGGTACCACAATGCATAGCCTGGTTCAATGGCGGGCAATTCGTCGCGACCAAAATCAACAATGGCAGTGGTGATACACTATATTTGTGCCTGCTGCATGCTCTCAGATTGTGGAAGATCACCAGCCACAGTTAGGTCGCCATCTCATTTTGCATCTTCCGGATGTGAGGGATATTGATTTGAATTGTACTAGCATTCCAGAAATGGGGGAGAATTTCATCTGGAGAACACTGGCAAGGGTACACTATGATGAAGGCCGTTTGGAAGAGGCCGAGCAGCTCGAGATACAGGTGATGGAGACTCGCAAGACGAAGCTCGGCGAGGACTATCCCGACACGCTTGCCAGTATGGCTAATCTAGATGCCAGTATCCTCTGCAAGAGTATTACAAGTAATTTACAGAATCTTCTATATCCTGTGGGCCAAGTGGAAGTTCATTCAGAAAACATTTTGCGCAGACTAAACGTCCTCTTTAATCTTGAGATAAAGGGCGAACCAACACGCTGGCTTGTAATTTTACCAGGTACGGGAAAGGATGGTCCAGCTGGCCCACGTCTAAGCCATCTTCCACTGTCTTGGTCAAAATACATTTTAGTGCCAGGTGGGGAAGGTTTCAGCCATAACCCTTCTTCTAGATCAAAATACGCTTCACCGTATGAGTCCGAACACATACGTGGGTTGCCGCTCTGGTTTGATGTATGCGATTGACAACAACCACAGACTGGAGGCCGCCCGTATCCAAGAGCTTCTCTAAATCGTTTGGACGGCCGTTTCTTGTCTTCTTCGCCTAACGGTCGTAGGTAGATCTCAGACATATCAACAGAGATTTTCTTCTGCGAAAGGTCAGCTTTAGGGGTTGAATCCACCGAGGTTGAATCCTTTGAGGTTGAATCCTTTGAGGTTGAATCCAGTGGGAGTTCTAAATTAAGTGCACCCATAATATTTGTTATCATAGCCCTCTGCTTTGAGAGACTCTGGGATTGCACTTCAAACACGGTTTTCTGTTCTCGGATCTCATCGACGATCATGCTGATGAAACAGTTAGTTAGTTGGTAATCCTGATGTCGCAAGTTTTCCATAAGAACGCACCTGTTTAAAAGGACCTAATATGTCCCATCGAGTGTAGCTCGAGTTTGCATCATGCCTTCAACGACCTTATCCATATCTTCCTTCATAAGTAGATAGGATCCTTTTCTGGCAATCGCCTCACGACGCTTCTCGGCCTTTGTTTCCTCCCCGTTGGTTTATATTCCGGTTTACGTCGCAAGCCTTGCTTATACTGAAAATCCCAGTACCTGGCATCTTCTAGTAGCAATCCAATCTCTGCGTTCATACTCAAATCAAGTGTGGAGAAATAAGCCTCCAGTCGTTTTTGTGCCTCCACAAGCGAACTATACAGTCTTTCCGCTCGTATGTAGAATCTCTTGCTCTCATCCTTTGCTTTGACCAAGGCTTTAGAGCGACACAAAAGTGTTAAGAAGATAGCGTAGGCAAAGGTTAGGATCCCGATGACGTTGCCGGTTATTGAAAGGGGGCTGTCTGAGCAGTCGAGGACTGGAGATGTTGTTGAGTTGTGAGACACGGCAGAAATCAGGGAGGATGGGATTACTGAGAAGAGATGAAGGGAAAATAAAGGAAAAGTAGGCAAAACACCCCTATTAAGTGACTCGGGGCAGAGGCTGAGTCTCGCGCTAATGCGGGATGAGGTGGGTGCAGCCTATGCAAGGCTTAGCAGACATAAATTTCACGACTCACAGATACTGAAACTTTTTCAATTTACCTGTTTGAGGGCTTTCTAGAAACTGGTATTGAGTTGTAGACTCGTTGGGTTGGGATATAGAAGCTATTGATCTCCCAGGGATCCTTAAAGGCTTGGAAATGATTTTCTAGCTTCCTATACATCACGCCTTTGAGGAAGTGTCGACTGTTTATCTACCTATATCCATGTTTCGTCAACTATTATCACCAATTATGTGCGCCGGCCCAGCCAAAACTGAAAGTGCACGTAAATATTTTTCACCCGGCAAGCTGGTACACTTTTTGGTGCAAAAATATCGGCATATTCCATGGTTAGGTAAAATCCAGGGTATATTTCCATTATATGCTATTTTGGAGATTTATTTATGATACGGTTAAAGCATTTGCAATATAATTCCTCGCTTGGTTCACGTCATTGGCCTGATATGAAATTGAAGTCCCCAAAATTAGAAAGAAACTCTTGCAAATTCATCCCTCCCCTTCTCTTCCACAAACATAACATGAGTTTTAGAACTTAAAAGCGCCCCCGGGTATACAAGTCATTTTATCGCAACCAAATCGCCAAGACAAGAGAAAACACCAGAGGTAGAGATAGTACGGTCTCACCTAGAATATACAAATATAGCAGTCCAGATAAAAGAAAACATCAACAGGGGGACCGTGCATGCTGCTTGGAATCAAACTGAGAATCATACTCGCTTTCAGAATGCATAAAATCATCAGCGAAGTTATCTCGCTTCGAGGTTGGCTTGTCCAAAGCCTGAGTCATCGGAATATTATCATTTTTGTTCCAGTTACCCAAAGGAACACCCTCAATACGGTGTATATCATCAATGAAATCGGTATTGGATGTATTAGATCGGTTGATTGGATCCGTACTCGAGCGCTGATCAACGCCCTGTGGAACTGGTGGTGCGTTCTTGATACCCCGGCGACAAGGCGGCCTCCATGACTGAGGGAAACTGAATGATGGACGGGATTGCGAGCCATTGGATGTGCCGTAGCCGTTGCTATCTTTGTTTTTATTGTTTTGGTTTCCGGGCCGCTGGCCTCGGTTGCTGTTGTACTGGAAAGCTTTGAGGCCAAAGAGCTTGCGTAGGAGAGGCCACCAGCACATTAGATTGGCCACGTAGATCGCGGTACTTGCTTCACGGATGTACCAGATTTGATAGGTTGTTGTGAGCGGAGAGGCAAAGTTGAAGAATTTGTTCAGGATTGCGGCAATGATGGTGAACAAGCCCAGACTCATGACACCAATCAAGACAACCTTTCTGCGGCGTTTGAGTTGTGCTTTGATGAGGAGGGGAATTGGTATGGCAAACATCACGGCGTCCGAGGAGATATTGAAGACCGCCTGTGTAATCGAGTAGCGCTGGTATGTGGCGCACTGCATATTGTCCACCGGCATAGCCCAGTATTGCGAAAAGGGTCGGCAGTATACTGCATAATAGGTGACCATGATAACCACGAACCCCACTGCCGTATAGACCGCGAGGATCTTGATGTAGAGGTTTGATCGCAGGTTTTGTGTAATTCGCCAGTAGAGCATGAGCATGCATGTCTTCACTCCCCAAGTGGAGAACAACATGCACTGCTCCAACCCAATGACGACCTTGCTTCCGTATATCCTATCACTGACTTGTTTCGGGTCCCCCAACACCTCGCTGTAGTCCTTCGGGTCCATGAGGTTTGTTGCATAGCGCGCCGATATTTGGATGAGCACTAGAAGGGTGGTATAGATCGCCTTTAGGAACCCCTTAGTCAGTAAAGAGCGATTCGATCAGTCTGGTGACCACTTACAAAGGTTGCTGTCATCACATAATCGTCCACTAATGGGGTAGTACATCAGTAAGTGCCTAGAATATAGAGAGCGTAAAACCATACCATATAGACGTTTAATTGATCCATTGGCAATGACTCGAGCTGCACTTGGAAATGTTAGACTTGCCTCAATTATAGATCATGTGTATTCCGTGACTCACATTCTGCCAATATAAATAACAAGACCGATGGCCCAAAAGATGATAGCTTCTGTGAGAAGCTGGTGTGGAGTGGGCGACACGTTCCCCATCCTAACGGATAGAGCGACACCTGCCCTGTATCAAGACCTCAAAATGTCAAGAATATCAAATGAAAACCGGCCATGTGTGGTTTCCAGAGGAGAACAAACAATCAAGTGTGTGTAAGCGTTCAGGTGAGGAGCATTGCTCGACAATTTCGGCTGGTAGGCATGGCCGGTCCACCGGCCACCCGCATTGATACGTGGATGATGTATTAAAGGCGGGCTGCTGCACCGACAGGAGCAATAATTAGACCTAGTCAGTGAGCGGTCACACTGCAAAGTCAAGCTCCCCGGGGTATGATAACGCTGTCAGCCGAAGACAGGGTTGCTTCGTCATGAGTCTTGGCACGAAAATGTCAGTGCTGGACTGGAGGGTTGGCCGATAAGCAAGGAAGAATGAGAGCAGTATGCAAGGGATTACCTCGAAGCGCCGTCCAAGATCGATGGCAGTTGTGTTTGGAATGCAGATCCTAACGAAGAGGCCCTACCGAATCCCTCCCTTCTGTCTTGGAGGCCTTCTGCGCACCAACTCAAAACCTGACAAGAGCCTCTTGTGGAACAGTATCTCAAGGAAATACAAATGGTTCGGCGTAAGTTGCAACGCCATTGTATGCAGGTTGACCGCAACAGGGTCGCATAAGCGAGAGTTGGTGTAACCCAGTTCTCAACTTGATTGCCGATTTCATTTTGATGTGATACCGAGTTGATTGCAAGTATGCACGATTGCAATAGTTCCATGATCTTCGCGCCTCGAGCAGAAGCAAACTAAGTGACATGTCAAATTCCATAGTGGATGTGAAGCCGAGCGTATGTGATTGGAGGAGCGTTGATCTGCAAGGCGGTCCAACCTAAGATTTAATAGTTCCTACGAAAATACTTATAGTAGTGATCTTCAATAAAATGGCAGCTAGCGCGATATCCGAGCCGAATAGATGTATGATACAGAAGAATGATATCTCTTACAGGGTAGTCAATTATGTTTCGAGGACAGTTGACTAAATATGGATCTTCAACTGCGCCTCATCCCTGGGGAACTTTAGCGGGATCTCCCGAGATAGTTCTTGTAGAACAGGAGTGAGCGAAAGTACATGCTGACTTTGCAAGCCAAGTTGTCACACATTCATAATCTCTTTAAACGTTACTTTTCACGTTGCATAACAGTCAGTGCCCAGTACTTCACGTATTGACCATTCGTCCACCTGTGGTACTCCCGGGGAAGCATCGCCGCGACGGTTTTTACGATTTTCGTTGGAATTGACTCATTCCACCAGAACTTGGTGGCATTCTGAAATAGTACAGAGAAATGGGCAAAAATGATAACCTCCGCTGGTTCTCATTGCTCAAGAAGCTGCACAAACCCAAAGGGAATTTGAACATTCGGCTCTTTGGGGATTGTGATCCTTTGGCAGCTGGGGATAATTGGGAAGCTCATTGACAGCTACCCGACCGGCGTTTAATTCCTAGTGCCCGAGAATTGAGCTGATTCTCATGAAATTTGCTCATTGTCGATGTGGTGTCTGTCTTCCATATTCTCGCAAGGCTGTGCAGTTGGTGAGTGTTACTGTCTCCCATAATGCTTTCCGTGTTGGTGATTGACACCTCTCGCCTAGGACATCACTACAGAGAAGAGGAGCAACAGGGCCGCTTTGAAACCGTGACCCTTGCGCTTGTAAATGTCTGTTGTCCGTTCGTGCGAACGAAGCCAGTCCACAATGGCATCGAAGAATTCATCCTCCATAAATGTGGCAGCGGGATTGATGACGGTACCTGCAGAGGCAGGTACGTAGTATTCTGCAAGGACGGAGAATGCGAAAGTGGCATCGCAGTTTTAAGGTGTGATGTTCTCCAGCTGAGGTGAAAGTCCTTGAGTGCAGCATCCTGCTTTCTGACAGCAAGAATAGACAGATGTTCTTTCTCTCCTGTATTCAAACTAGCCATGTGGAGAGAGGTGAGAGCCAGAATGCCTAAGGGAGAAAGGGATGTGCGAATGCAATCTGGACGACCGCTGTGAGCCACGTTGTATGAGCTTCTAGGCGATCTGACAAAGCCGCACTTGCGAAGTAGTGCAAAAGCCGCATGCCATCTAAGGTATAGACTAGGCTGTCTTTGGCATGCTTGGACGAGCCTTCCCCGGCGTCAAGTCTCGGCTTTTGAACAGAGCTGGCCGCACCACTTTCTGATTGCTGATAGGATACTCCTGGGCTTCACAAGTAGGGCATTGTAATCAGAAAGCTGCAACATTCGTTGAACTTCGAACAATTGCCGCATATTGCTCGTTGTTCATCGCACTTGACTTTCCGAGTCTTACATTCCCGGCAGCCCATTCTGGAATTTTGACCGAGTATCGTTCGCGGCATGATGGAAATTAATCTTGATGATGCTAGAAAGAAGCTAAGACCAATGGCTACCTGGTCGGTACGAGAGTGCTGGAGATCCCAAGGTGACACACATCTGCTTCCGAAATTTCTGCAGTGTGCTCACTCACTTCCAAGTTGATTCTTTAGGTTCTTTTTTTTTAGGCAGCTGGCTTGCCAAATATCGATAGTTGGACCCAGTTGAAAGCTTAATGGGCTCTGGGTTCGACACCTTTCGATTGTTTCCAGATTTTCGAAGTTGATCTCATAGACCCGCTCTATATATACTTTGCTCGCACTGACAGCTTCGTCATTGCCTCAACAGCATCCTTGGGATCAAACGTACTATCCAAGCAATCATAAATGCATTTTACTCAATCTACTTCTACATTCCACTTCAACTCTCAACATGCTGGGCAAGATTGTTCTCGAGGAAGCCTCTGAGCGCGCCGAAGCTGACTTGTACATCGCCCCCGAGAACCGTGTTCGCTACATGCGCCAGATCCACGCCATAAAACGATGAGCGTGTCAGTCTGTCCGACACTCATGACATTGGCTACACCATCGTATCCCTGCCTGTTCCCGGTATCCTTTCCGACAAAGCCCTGGCCGGGAATACTCCCCCGGAGGCCAACAACTGGACGGCGGACCAGATCAAGAAACAACCTCGACGGCATGGGCGCGCTTGCCGTCTGTCCATGCACGACCCTAAGCAAACTGACCAGGAGCTGCGTCGCTGTGTTCAGGAGCTCGGATCCAACGGTGCCCTCCTTTGCGACTTCCAGCACTCCGGCCCCAATGGCGAGACCGACCTCTACTACGACCAGCCCGCCTACGATGAGTTCCAAAACGTCCTCACCGAGCTCGACGTCAACTTGTACATCCATCCCGCTGCTCCTTCGGATGTCATCCTGCACTGGCTTGATTCAGAACGGAGGCTTCGACCGCCTCCGGAAGCTGAAGATCATCGTCGGTTACAGGCGAGCACATGTTCTTCGACTTCCGATGTATCAGCCACTGGTAGAGGATGTGATGAGGCCAGTTGCTAACGAGGAGGGTCGTGTTATGGCTGAGAAGACTATCTATGACTACTTCAAGTAGAACATCTAGATCACGACCAGCGGACACTTGTCCACTGCCACCCTGAAGTATGTCGTCAACGAGATTGGTGCCGATCGCTTTCTGTTCAGTGTCGGCTATCCATACGAAACCATTGAGAACGGCTGTGGCTGGTGGGACAATGACTCCAAGGCTATTCAGGTAGCTGTTGGCGGCGTTGATGCCTCCTGCCGCATTCGTCGCAAAGAAGCTGCTCAAGTTGGGCTCTTTCCACGACTCGAATGCTCCTGTCAACTAAGACGTATACCGATGGCATAAGATTGGTTGTTGTGACAAATCTCTCTCTCTCTCTCTCTTTTTGGATATTTCGAACACTAGCTTAGGAATTCAGTTTGCATATATTTTCTCAAATATTATCAATCGTTTGTCTTTGAATACCCTAACTATCTATACGAATTACCGGCATTTTATTCGCGTCTCACATTTGGATCTCGATAGTAAAAAGTAAACGGATACAAGACCGGAGGGCCGTTTGTTTTATACGTGTACATGCGCTGGTCCGATCCCCAAAATCAAAAATTATACATCACATGAGTTTATGTGGGCCATCAAGAAAGGGATCGAGACCATTACATGCATGGAACAAGCCAATTAGACGTCGCACAGGAGACTCTTAAGAATGCTGCGATGAGCGGAACAAATTCAGGCTGCAGCGCAGTAACACAAAACACAGTTGAAACTGCAAGTTTCAAAATTCTCAACAATTTTTGGCAAGGAACAGCCTCGTTGACGGACACCTTTCGCCCCAGAATCGACCGGCAAATGACTGCACATCGGATCGCCCGATCGACGCCTGGTTTCCAGGTGGACCATGCGAATCCCCCTTGCTGCACGGCGATGCATCACTCGCCCTGCTTGTGCTTTTTAGGAAGTTAGAATGAGATGTGATCCATACAAATGTGACTAGAAATACAATATTGCAATACTACTGGATGTCATGGCACGGTTACGCGCATGTTTACTTTTTTTTTTCTGACTGTCAACGCCACACTATTGCCAATAGACATGCGTCTAACTGGCAGGATTGTACCTCTCAGCCCGGACATGGATAGAGAAGAATCTTCTCGGAAATAATTGTAGACGAGTCATTCGCTCGTGAAATTTCTACATGGATTCATGCACGTGGCGGCCATATGGGCATCGACCCTCGCATACAGCATTCCTGGGGTTGCGACTCGCCCGATCTGCCTTCTGTGCGCCCTATACGATTTCGTTAAACCTAGTGGGGTGGCGTGTTATTTCCTCCTTTTCATTTCCCTCTTTTCTTTTTGTCCTTGTCTTGTCATGGCTTGACGCTTTCCCTGAACATTCGTTTTGATACGCTATTACGGACGGCAACATGGCAGTGACCGCACGACAGATCCCTCGGGATGGCGAGAAGCTCACAAAAACCCATACTGCTATTGATGAGGCTCGATTGGAGTCAGCACTTGGGCACAAGCAAGAACTGGTTCGGAATTTTGGATTATGGAGTTTGACTAGTTTGGGGATTGTCATTGCGAAGTATGCGACCTGTTTCTTAGAATGCATTTCACTCACTAACGAGATCAAGTTCCTGGGCTTCAACGGGAGGTACAATTGTCGCGGCACTCCAAAATGGTGGCCCGATGGCCGTTCTTTACGGGTTGATTCTCGTCAGCGTCTTTTATACAGCGATTTCAGCATCGCTAGCCGAACTAGCCTCGTCAATGCCCTCCGCCGGTGGTGTATACTACTGGTCATCGGTACTAAGTCGCAGCCGAGGCAAAACAGTGGGCTTCTTCACTGGATATCTAAATGCCTGCGCCTGGCTATTATCTGCCTCTTCAATGAGCTCGATGCTAGGGAATGAAGGCGTGGCCATGTATCTGCTCCATCACACGACTGTGAAATGGCAAGCTTGGCAAGTCTTTATCGTGTTCCAGATTGTCAACTGGACATGCTGTGTTATTGTCTGTCTGGGAAACCGCTTTATCCCTCTTATCAACCGGATTGCTCTCACTTTGTCTATGTGTGGACTTGTCGCGACTGTAATCGTCCTTGCAGTGATGCCAAAGAAACACGCAAGCAGTAAGCAGGTGTGGGTTGAGTACCACAACAATACAGGTGGCTGGTCAGACGGAGTTTGCTTTATGACTGGACTGCTCAACGCTGCATTTGCAGTTGGAGTGCCCGACTGTATCAGCCATCTCTCCGAAGAGGGTGAGTCTTTTGCTTGAAGAAACGAAAGACGGATTCAATAAAAAGACCACAGCTAACTTCAAGTGCAATTAGTCCCCAAGCCTGAAACCAAGGTCCCCCAAGGCATAATGCTACAAATGCTCACGGCCTTCATCACATCCTTCGTCTACCTGATCGCACTATTCTACTCCATCCAAGATCTAGACGCAGTTTTCACAAGCAATATAGTATCCTTCCCAACGGCCGAAATCTACCGACAAGCAACCGGATCCAACGGAGGTGCCATCGGCCTAATCGCCGTGTTATTTCTCGCAACCTTCCCTACATTAATCGGTACCTTCGTGACAGGTGGTCGAATGTGGTGGAGCCTAGCACGAGACAATGCGACACCCTTTGCAAGCTATTTTGCCCAAGTTCACCCAACGCTGAACTGTCCGGTCCGCGCAACAGTCGCCATGAGTGCACTTGTGACTTGTCTGGGTTGTATATACATCGGCAGCACGACGGCATTCCAGGCGTTGATCTCGTCATTCATTGTGCTCAGCTCGCTGTCCTACTTTGGTGCTATCTTCCCGCATGTCCTGTCCGGTCGTCGAAATATGGTCCCTGGGCCGTTTTATATGGGGCAGAAGCTCGGCATGGCGGTTAACATTGTTTCCTTGGTGTATATTTCTGTTACTGTTATTTTCTTCTGCTTCCCACTTGTATTGCCTGCCACTGCCCACAATATGAACTATACCAGTGTTATTATTGTTGGATTGATGGTTTTGACTGCTTTGTGGTGGTTATTCCGTGGAAGACGCCAGTATCACGGTCCACATTATAGCTTTGAGGCTGCTGAGCGGTTGGCGGCATTCCAGGAGGGCAAGGAGGGTCGCCGATCTTTTATTGATGTCGTGGATGGCTCGCCCATTGGTTGTGTTGAGCATGGCTGACGAACTGAATAACGAGATGTTGGAAACGGGGAAATGGGTGGCTGCTTGATTGGGCCTTTTTTTACTTCTTGTTTATTGTTTTGCCTACTACTATATCAGGGCATATGTACTTATACGAGTTGCATGTATACGTTTGACGAATATGATGGAGAGCAAGTTATGACCGCGTCGTATTTGGTCTTGATCCTAGCACCGTGGACTAAATTGTACAATAGGGGTCACAAATATGTACGTAGTGCCATGGAAGATTGGACGGTCTCTATACGAAAGCCCCGAAGCGAGTGTACATCATGCATTGTTTTCGCCCTGTTTTGGCTTTTTTCCCCACCTCCTTTTGCCCATTTTAGAGAGATTAGCGTGAGCGGACATTGTCATGTCCTAAAAATTGAACGGATCAGCAGATCATAGAAATGCAGGAGACCAATGCTCAATTGGTCATTGAGCATTATCGCAAATGATATGTTGGAAGTGCTGCATTTAGTCTAACTTATAGCAACGTGTATGTGCATCTACCGGGGCTCAATCAATCAATCAAAGTTCTATTAACCAATTGGGGGCTACGCAGGCGATTTGGTCAAAATGAAGCAAGAGCTTGTAATCCGTACGCATGATCCCCGCAGTACAAAAGCAGCGAATAAGACGTCGTAAGTGATTCAATAGGTGTTGATCAAAAGCAAACTGATCAAGAAGAAAAGAGCAAAGGATCTTAGATTTATAGATAAAGCTGATAAATCTTCTTGCTGTTAGAGAGACAGAGTCAAGTTAAAAGGGGAAGAAAAATATCTTTCAAATACTCCCTAGCCTCAGTTATGTTAAATTTGTCATTAAAGTCTTTGTTAACTCCTTCCTTGATTACTCTTTAGACTACTCATTCATACTTCGCAAGGTTATATATCACGGGTAAGAGAAAGGGAGGTACATCATAATCATAGAAATATTCGATTCAGTTTTGATATTCAAAATAGAAGTCCTCAAGTCATAAGCTATTGTGTGTAAAGAGAGACAGTAATTGCAAAGAGAATATGCTATATCTCCGCGTTTACAGTCGAGACTTGATGCTCTGAGCACCCTCCCAGGCTTCTCCAGCTTCAAGAGTCTGCCAACCAGACACAGAACCAGCTTCCACACAGATCATGTTCTTGTAAGCCTCATCCGGTCCAAAGTCGGCCATGCCCTTGGCCTTTTCAATCCAAGGGTTCCAGACCACGACATCGTTCAAAGCCTCCCGAGTAATCGAGAACAAAGGTTGGTCATCCTTAGCCGAGGCGACGACAATGGGAACGGCTGGGTCGAGACTTTGGTAAACACGATCAGTTTCTTGGGTGATGGCGAGAGCGGGGGAGGATTCGGTATGGGTGGTGGCGTTGAGGGTCTTGTCGACGTAGGTCTTGGATTCGAGGTTCTTAATGCGGATATCGGAGATGTCCTTTTCGTGTAAATTTTAAGTTAGCAAGATATTAGACAAACAAGCACTCAAAGGGAGCTCCTACCGCGATGTTGAGGTATGTGTGCATCAGTGTCTGGAACTCAAAGTTCTGTTTGCCTTCGTTGCGGACCTGCAATGCCGTCTCCAGAGTATCCTTCGTGAGGGTAACACTGTAAACTAGACCGAACTCATAAGGCCACGCCTCACGGAACTCCTCGGTCAGCATTGAGTGCGACAGTCCGAAATCCAGCTTCACAGTGAGATCGGTCTGATCACCATCTCTTCCAGGCGCTTCCGAAGACGACTTGCCCAAGAACTCCCAGTTAGAGTTACGAGCGAAACCATGTTGAGGTAGGGAAGAGGTGGCGTGGTTCTGGGGGGGAGGGCCGAAGACCTGTAGAATGAAGCAAGGCGCTTAGCAGTTAAGTCGACAAGAGAGTAATTGCACATCACATACCGGGAACACGAGCGGAATACCACCACGGATTGGCTTGGAGCCATCCAAATGGGCCTTTTCACTCACGAACAGCTGCTCCTTGCCGTTTGTCTTCCATGAAGTCACGGTAGCGCCGTACAGGTGCACGGTAACGGATTGACCGGAGGGCAATGAAGCTTCGATGACATTGTCCTTGATAGACAGAGTGGGCTGCGGGAGGGATGCACCCACTCCAATTGCGGAGGGTTTGTTAGAACGATCCATTGTTGATGAGAGTGAAGATATAAAGGAGGAAGAGCTGAGGCTTATGGCGGGGAATCTTATCGCGCCCCCGCCTGTTTTGATTCGCGTTCCGCTTCTAACGTGGCTGGATGTCGATCTTCCTATGCATTTTATACCGAAATATTTATACCTATAGCCAGTCAATTCGATATTCACGCCCTTCTAAACTTAAGATTGGCTTCATAATGGATAACACGGCCGATTACAGCACTTATACGTGTATATCACGTGATTGTGTCATATACTTAGCGAGTCGTTTAACAATTCAATGAATCCTTGGAGGCGTATTATTTGCTATCGACCTTGTTAACCATGTTCAAATGAGCGATTTAGGATATTGTGGTGGCCAGGTATACAACGTGTACATGAGTTGTTCATTATATATTTTCGACTAAGCTTTGATACCATGCATGCAGGAACTAAAGGACTACAAAGGCCTGAATCCTGGAGGAATGTATATACGTTGCCTACAGTATGAACTTAGTGTAGAATTGATCTCAATATTGAATGAGCCAGGAGCTAGATTATAGAGTAGATGATTTACACTATATACTTTTAGTAAGATATATACAAATCCCACCTAGCCATGCTGCAACGACGAAGTCTGTCCCTCGATACTAACGGCCTCAATCCGCTCTATCTCATCCTCCGTCAGCCGCCACCCAAGCGCCTGCATATCCTGCTCCGCCTGCTCTGCATCACGAACACCAACCAAAGGAACAACCCCTTTGTTGATAGAGTAATTTAACGCAACAGCCGGAACAGGCGCACGCCTCTCCCCAGCAATACTCTTGAGCACATCGATAGTAGGCTCCAGCATATGCATTGGATAACTGCTGAAGCGACGTCTCTGCGGAGTCTCATTCAACCTCGAATACTTGCCGGACAGACGACCTTCAGCGAGAGAAGCAAAACCCTGGAAACAAATACTTCGCTTCTTGCATTCCCGAATCATGCCACTAACCTCCGGCAAGCGACGGATGACCGAGTACTCGCATTGGCAAACAGCGAGCGGGATACCGTGCGTCGCAAGCTCGTCGGCCATTTTGATCATCTCATGGGTACTGTAATTTGCGACACCAACGGCACGCGTCAAGCCAGATTCTACACAATCCGCTAAACCCTTGGCTACTTTTGAGATCATGGTAGGGTGAATCGGGCCGTGGACGAGGTAGATATCGACATAGTCCAGCCGGAGTCGAACGAGTGAATCTCGGAGCTTGGACTTAGGTCCACCGGATTGCAAGAGGGTGTTGATCATATCGGGCGTTGAGAACCACTTGGTTTGCACGACGAATGAATCCCGCGGCATGCCCTGGAACAGAGTTCCACAGATAAGCTCGCTCTCGCCGGTACCGTAGGACTGGGCTGTGTCTACAAAGGTCAGCCCGACGGATTTGAGCTTTTGCCATGCTGAATGGATATGTGGCAGGTCTCGGTTTGGGTTGTAACTGAAGGTTGCTTTGTCGCCCCATGACCAAGTGCTGATACTCATATACAGGGGAGAGCGATTCGGCTCTGCGAGGTTGGCATCTGGCCGGCTGGGAGCATGTCGACTGGTTCGCTGAGATGGGGGTCCATTAGCTTTGGGTGGGGAGGGTGGAAGCCTTGTGTGGCCATTGTGATGGTGGTTTCCTTGGTAGCTGTCGGGCCTTGGTTGAGCTAGCAGTCTTTACAAAGAAAAGTGATTTAAGTCAATAATAACAAGTGCCATCCAGATTGATAGTGCCAAGCGTGAACTATAAAGGACAGGAAGGGGCGGCGCCTGCGTCATCATGACAATAGAACAAGAGAGCCATGCTGTCGGATGTCCTTCCATATGGCCATTAGATTAGTTTCTTGCCTTTGAGACTCGTGGCAAAAGCGAAGAGGACGATTGGATTAAGGGGTAGCGCCACTCGAGTATATTGAGACCAGGTACAATGATCATGTTCAGAGTGATTGTTTGCGGGTTAAATTATGATCGAAGAAGCCCCCGAAAGCGCGAGAAAAAAAGTTAAGTACACCGGGATGGAAAGATGAGATACGGGACCGAAAGCATCTCATAGATAACATACATGTGGGGGGAGTGCTTCCACCTGAGAAAACATGTAAGATGCAGGGGAATAATGATGAGAAGGGGTCCAATAGAAAATTCATATCCAACAAAAGGTTTCGCTATAAACGCCATCGCTATGCTGAAGTGTTGTGTCGATCTAATGCACGAAGAGATTCGACACGGATGTGGAAGAGGAGATCATCGACCTCGCGGATGGTACTGGGGTCCAGGGTTGCCAGTTTCATATCTCCTAAGAGGGTCTTCAGAGACTGGGTGATGCTTGCTTCGTTGATATGTGTTTGAGGCTCAGTGGGTGTGTTCTCTGTTTGGGTACCCGGAGTGGCAAGACTGGTAGTTTGCTCGGGTTGCTGGTGAGGGATCGCGTCATCCATTTTCATTTTGGTGACGGTTGAAGCAGGCTCAATGGTTTGGCCAGCTTCACTCATTTGAGTGTCTGTTGCCTCCTCGGTAGAAACAAGACCGGTGCTGTGTTCTACAGCTTGGTCTTCAGCCACAATGCTCTCAGGAACCATGTCCTGATCACCATTCTGGATTTGAACGTGGTCCGATACTTCGGAAGAAACTGCATCAAGCTGAGATACATTTTGCCGAGAACGCGTCTTGCGTATGTGTTTATCGGAGACGACATCGCGGGAAACACCCAGTCCCACAGCAGAGGAGGGAGCCTGGTCCTCGAGGCGGAGTGATTTGCGTGACCGCTTAGAAGGCCTGGGGGTCTCTGCATCTTCTGTTGGCTGCTCCGCAACAGATTTTTGATAAGCAGGGACAAATTCTGCGGGCGCATTTTCCTCGGCTTTGCGCTGAGAATTCCGGGCAGATCGGCGAGTGGCAGTTGGAGATGAGACTGGTTCAGCCTGTTCAGTAACAGCAGATCCCTGGGAGCGAGAATCATCCAGCTCCTCTGCCACACCATCAGCATCCTTCCCAGTGGTCAGTCGCGTTGAGCGACGACGTTCATTTCTCTTTGATGCGGGAGGCTCTTCAACACGCTTCCTCTTTCTTGCGGCTGACTGCTGGGAAGAGGTATCTGAGCGCTTGCTTTGAGGCTTGCCGTTCATGTCAACAGCAAACTCCAAATCTTGTTCAAGCTGAGATGCGATTTGTGTGTCAACTTCCTCACTCGAGTCCATAAAGGCATCGGGAAGATTGGTGTCAGGAGGCGGGTCGGTGGTTTCTTGCTTTTCTTCCGCCGCAGGCTGGGGACTTCCTTGCTTCTTTTTCTTTTTGGAACTCGAGTTTGATTTGCTCTTGCGGGCAGGCTTTTGAACAGGAGTTTCGTGAGGATCAAGTGGTGCAGCATGGGAAGGGTCCTGGGAAGTGGGTGATGCTTTACTCAATCCAGATCGAAGACGTCTGCTGGGAGTTGTTGCATTTGCTCGAGGGGTAGCGTCGGTATTTTCCTTGTCTTGATCATGAGAATCAACCATGGATGTATCGTTGCTATTCTCTGTCGCAAGTCGAGAAGTAGCCGGACTATTGACGGTGGATTGTTTGCCTGAAGTGCCTGCCAGAGCCTTTGCAGCCTTTGCAGCCCTTCGCCGCGCGCTTCTTGATGGCTTCCGACTCTTTGAAGGACTTGGGCTTCGAGAATGGATCTCAGGAGGAGAGGATGGAGGATCTGTTCCCTGGATCGCGTTGGACTCCTGGACCGCAGACACAGGAGCGTCGGAGTTCACGGCAGGCGTTGGATCCCGTGTCGCCGGCGTGGGGGATGATCCAACGAATCCTTCTTCATTCTCGGTTGGCGCTAGAGTGGGCGTTAATGGAGTTTCGGACGCTGATTCAGATGACTGCAGCCGGCGCAAATGAGGGGGAGTGTTGAAGCCTAATCTCCGAGGAGTGTTGGCGGGCGAGGAGGACTGGATGGATTCGAGCATCGAAAACACTTCACGACGGTTTCGACGCTTCTTGGCCACAGAAGCACGCTCAAAGACCTCCGTGTCCGGAACCCCAAGTTGGAAGTTGCTGGGCAATTGGGGCTCATTCACCCCATTCGAAACAGTTGAGTCCTGTGTCCGTATCACAGGAGATGAATTAAGGGAGTCTTGATTTGCCCCAAGGTGGCCTTTACGCCGATCAATCCTTTCCGGTGCAGGCGGAGGCAGCATTTCAGTGTCCTGCAACAACGTTAATATAGGATGCCAATTTGCACAAATGTATTGACAGTACCTGATCACCATCTAACTGCGGGATGATGCTCTGAAGCTCGGATTCGGCAGTCCGCACAGCTTCCAGAATAACGTCCGGGCAGATAGTAGGCTGGGAGTCAAAGTTCAAATGCCAAAGCTCAACAAACCTCTTGCTGATTGAATTGTGCGACGACTTCAAACCAGCGCAAAATGTCGCCTGGAACTTGCCCACAGATGAAAGATCATCAGTAATTGATGCTTGTATGATGTTAACTGCTGCAGAAGAAAGGGCACGACACTAGATTGAAGTCAGTACACGATCCTTTTGGGTTCTGCTTGGATACATACCGCAGTTATAATCCTGCTCTCAACACCGTGGTTGACGTTAATCTTGTATGACTCGTCTTCCAGCCAAATACTCAGTGGTGGCTCAAGACTTTGGAGAAGCTGAGACCGAAATTGCGGAATGCCAGATCCCAAGAAGGACGTCAAGGCTTCGATGAATTCTGCAATGCCGGGTGCCCCAGGGGCATCGAAATGGTCATATGCACCACATAAGGTACGAGAAATTGATTCGAGGAGTTTATGAGGGAAGAGAGAATGGCCGACTGACTGAATTCCATCACGTGCGATACCGAGTCCAGTGCCTTGCAGGAACGGAATGGACAAAGAGTGGCTGAAGAGTGAGGTCGAGGGTAGATACGTATCACCAGCTGGAAGATGCATGAGTTGTTCAGCCATGGGCTCCACAATCATGGTGGCAATTGCCTGGTTTCCCTTTTCCGTTCGAACCACATGAACGAATGAATCAAGCAAATGAGACCAGTCTTGGAAAGCAGTAGTGAAAATCAGACCGAACGATAGGATTCTGATGGCATTTTCGTAGTCACGGGATACAGACCCGTCGCGCTCACGAGCGGATTCGATAGGGAACGATCGCAGGGCGTTCGCAGCTGCTTGCGCAGCCGACTTCCAGACGACTTCTGACAACTGGGGCGCTTGTTGGATAATGTTGGTTTCTGCAGTGCTCAATTCTGCACACTGTCGCAAAAGCTCAAGACGAGATCCGCGGGAGATTCTGCTATTACACGCAGCTTCGATGGTACCCATGACCAGGCGTGCATAGGATTGCGTTGGTGAGACTGTTTTTGTAATGCTGGTGATTGTCCGGAGAAGATGAAGAATGGGGCTATTTAGATTGGTGCCTGGACTGGGATGGCGAGGTGTTGGAGTGGTGGCAGTCTGGAATGTTTCATCTGTACTTCTTAAGAGAAGCTTCTCGGTGAATGGAATCCCACCAAGAGCAACAATAATCGTCGTCGATAGGAAGCGGAACCTGTCGAAGAAAAGGCTCATGCTGTCATCCCCGACAGCGTTCAAAGAAGATGGCCCGACAGCCCAAAGACGATGCAACAAGCCAAGAACAGCGGCCACAGCTTGCATCGATTCCCCGGAGGGTGTAATTTCTTTGCTCGAGGCAAGCGACAAGGCGCTGGACAGATTAATCCAGGCCATCGCAATGTGTGACTCTTCAATTGCATTTTCAACCCAAACCGAGGATTTGAATAAATTTTCAAAAACTTTCAAAATTGTTGAGATTCTTGATCGCACCCAACGACTATCGGCTGCAGGAAGTTCTTCGGCTTCAATTTTGTTAGTGTCGTTGATTCGACCCTCAATCCAAAGCTTAGCCTGTGTGCTCCACAGCAGGTTTGTCAAGATGCGAGATAGACAGTCAGAGAGAGCGGGGACAGTCGAAAAGATACCCGAAGAAGGCCCAAGGACATATTCCTCCCATATGATATCAAGATGCTCGTTGGAAGCCGAAGGGCGGAAAGTGTAGTATAATAAGTTGTGATAGCTGGTCAGGGCAAGCTGAGTTGGTGGTGATCCAGACTTGTCGCTCTTCTTGCGGTCGAATTGCGAGAGGACTGGCTTGCCCAGCATTTTGAGCAATGAGCGACTTGTCGAGTCGTTGGGACCGACAGCAAAGATAAATCGATTCCAACCGACAATTGCCTGTGCTTTGATGGCAGGTTCGCTACAGTTGAAGCATTTTTGCAGTACCAGAACCCATTCCTTAAAATAATCCCACTGTTCCAGGTTCCATCTTTTGCTCCTGAGCAGTAAAATGATGATGCTCCAAATCTGAGGAACGTGGACACCACTCTCCACAGACGACATCATTCGAGCCATACGCTCACGGATCTCTGTGACTAGTTTCCGATCATGCTCGAGTGTCCGGTCGAAAAGATCCCTTATATTCTTCGACAATATAGGATTCGGACCCGACTCCGCCGTTATCTGAAAGCCAAGGACAATCGCCTTTGACCTGGTGTCCTTCAAATGATGAAGTAGACCAAATATTAGGTGTTCGATCCACAAATGTGTCTGGGTGATGAAACCTGACTTGGCTTGGCTAAGGAGGCGTTGGTATATGTTCAATCGATGGGAGACAATTGCGTTGCCAGGAATGTTTTTGGTGATGTCTTGGAGGACTGTAAGAAGACGTGTGATGCGAGCGTTTGTCATGATCTTGGGGCCGAAGTTCTGGGTAGACAAAATGGACATATAGTGTGACAACACAGATTTGGGAACTTTGGCCTCGTGAAGACAATTGATGGAGTGATCCACCAGAAAGGTCTTGAAGTCATCTGAAAGCTGAGTTGAGATATCGGCGTGCCAGACAAACGCAGCCGACAGCTTCAAAGCCTGGTTGGCAAGATTTGTGTCCAAAGGTCCACCGTTCGCCAGGTCTCGATTGACATCACGCTGAATGAACTCTGTGACAAGATTTAACTTCTCGGCAATATCTTGACCTGCGGGAAGTCCATCATATGTCCGAAGTGCTCCAAAAAATTGCATGTAGGCATCGAGTCGCGAGCTCAGTGACTCGCCTGCGAGTTGTTGAATGACCGATTCGAGTAGCATGGCGAGTGACTCTGTGGTGAAGGTATCGACATTGGGTGACCAAACTGGAATTGGGGACTGTGTGGCCTTGAGGATCGATTTCGCGGGTTTGGAACCTGTCGACGGAGGGTTGGATTTGAGATCAGGAACCGATTTTGAGGCACTAGTAAACGTCGGCGGCTTGATGTACTTGGGCCATGGCGAGAAATTCACACGTTTAGAGCTCCGGCTCGAGGGAACAGCCTCAACAGACCCAAATGCCGCGAAGGGCGACTCCTTGGGGGTTTGAACAGCTGACTCGGCTCGGTTTTCGTCAACAAATCGTGAAGCTGTCCTTGGAGGTGTGGGCGGACGAGCTGAGAGAATCTCCACCATGTTGGAGATCAAAAGGAAATGAAAAGAGAGAGGAAGTCAAGGACCATTGCTGTGCAGTCAAAGCCTGTCCATGATACTGTTGAAGGGCCGAGAAAACTAAAGTTCCGGCGCGGTCGCGATGCGCGTAAAGTGAGGCGCCTGAGGCGACGAGGCACCCACTTTACGCGCTCTGGTCTATACTTCTTCAATGTCAAGGTGATATAGCAACAACCTGTGGATATAGATACTCTGATAGAGTAATGCTTGCTTCTAGAATTCTGCAATGCAGAAGGTATAAAGGACCGCATGTAATCTTCGTGGCGCATGCGGAGTACAGTATTCGCGTAGTCTTTGCAGACTCTAAACCCTATTGCAGACACTCCATATCTTTCTTGCTCTGATCTCAAGATTAAATTGACTTTAGTTCTGTACAAATTGAAGATCTGAAGAAGCCAAAAAAAAAGCTCAAGTGGGGGCTTTGCGGTACCAACAATTTTATGACGATTTGCACCCAACTTTCCCCGCGTCAAAGTTTCCCCTGTCTCCTTTTCTCATTCTCGCGTGGAGATCATTTGATCGCAGTGGTATTTTCCCTGTCTTTATACGATAGCAGATCCTTCGAAGTTTGGATCGAAACACGTCCTACATCCCCTACCAACCACGATCCTCGGCGCGCGACTTGCAGATACAGGCGCGCAGATCACCATGAACTCCCTCCAGTTGCAAGGAGCAGGTATGCCGGAATCAAACCTATTAACACCTCTAGGGTTGCAGGTTGGCTGACTGGATACTCCGGCGGGTGCAGCGAAGCTGCAGCAGGTGGTGCAGTTGATCAAATCTCTCGAGAGAGACCTAAAAGAGAAGAACTTGACAACAGAGGGCGAGTCCTGACCTATTACATTAAGCACCGATGGTTCTATTCAATTCTAACCAGAATCTTTGTGACAGAAAGAGTCCAAACTCTCCTCCAATTGCGGCAGCACGGCACGAACCCTACCAACGCAGAGCCGATCTACTCGCAGAATGTATGGCAATACGGATGTATTCATCGTCAGTCAGAATGAGACTAATTGTCTCACCAGGGGATAAACACATTGGTGCGATATGGAGTGGAAGGGGAATCCCCTGATGTGCGACGTGCGGCCTTGCGCTGTGTTGCCAATGCCTTGTTGCTTGATGCGAAAATGCGACAGCTATTTGTGGACACAGGGTATGGTGGAAAGCTAGCCGGCAAGCTAAAGACCGATAACTCAGAAGATGAGATGGTGACAAGTCGGATCCTATTTTATGCAACCTACAATACGACAATGGACTTTGAAGACTTGATCAAAAACCACGCATTGGGAGATAATATCAACTATCAAATTGGGCGTCATGCGAAACAATTCCCTAAGTCAGGAAGGACCCCATTGTCACAAATGGACGAGCTGGCTCTGACAGACACCCTCAAGTTGATATACAACGTGTCAAAGCTCTTTGATCTTGCTGCCGCCTTCTCCCCTTCCATCCCTCACATTTTGAAGATCATCAGTCGCATCGATATTCCGTCTAAGCCTCTAGATGGATTACTTGGCGGCCTCCTCAATGCATTGTCCATCCTTGACCTGGAAGAAAAGAAAGGCAAGGCATTTGAGAGCAGCCCACTTTTCCCGACGTTTGACCAAAACTGCAACGTGGACAAATTGATCAAGATATTGGATCAGGCCGTGTCATTATACAGCCCCGAGGAGCTGGAAAGCAAGGCAGTCCCGCTGCTATATTTACTTATAACCATTCACGAAGTTGCACCCGACGGACCCCGCAAGTACATGCAATGGCTTCTTCTGCCTGAGAACAGTGACCGAAGCCTCCCAATTGGACAGTCTGACACCCTGTCTTCAAGGCTGTTGAAACTCTCGACTAGTCACCACGCTAATCTCAAGGTTGCGATCTCTGAACTGATGTTTGTCCTCTCCGACAAAGATGCCGAGAAGCTTACCAAGAATATTGGGTACGGCTTCGCTGCAGGATTCCTGGCAGCTCGGGGTATCGAGATGCCACAGAATGCTAGCGAAGCATATGCAACCGATCACGGCCCAGATGCACAACTCAACCCTATTACTGGGCAGAGATGGGCTGCTGAGCCTAAGGATGAGGGCCCACCTATGACTATGGAGGAGAAGGAACGAGAGGCAGAACGACTGTTTGTGCTATTTGAGAGGTAGGTCTACCATAGGATGCCCAGTGACACGAAACACCGCTGACAAATGCAGGGCGAGAGCGAATGGTCTTCTCAATGTCGAGAACCCGGTGACTCAGGCTCTTCATGAAGGGAGGTTCGAGGAACTGCCAGATGATGCTGATAGTGATTGAACAATGGACAGCCCTAATAGAACACTGTCACATGGCAGCTGAATTTGCTTTTAGCTCATGTCATATTATCTCATGTCATAGCATGCATGCATCCAAATATTTGCAGTCCATCTGGGACAAAGCAATAACAAATATCTCCGTAAGCATGAAAGTAAAATTTATATTGGAACCTACTAGATGCAGCCGGGCGGAATGACGTTATGCAAGGCGGAGAGCGCAGCCTCCGCCCGTCAAAAAAATTATGTGCGCGGGGCAGCACTCCCACTTCGATTTCCCTCCTTGACATCACTGTTTGTTTGTACTCTTTTTTTCTTCGAGTGAACTGTTCTATACCCTGCCGTCAAAATGTCGAAGCCATTCAACCCCGAGGAGGCGGAGAACCTGGAGGATGTACGACCCCGCGCCGGTATAGATTTGCTGATCGCTGATCGCTAACAATTGCAACAGATGGAGAAGCAGTTCGCCGTGAAAGGTCCGTCGCAACTCGATTCGAGCCCCGTATCTCCGATTATATGAGCGGAGTGTCGTATTTGGAAGTGTCAATATTAACATTTCGTCCCATGCAGCGGTGGAGCATCTCATGACATACTGGGCAATCCTGGAGAAGGTTAAGGGCTCGCAGCTCCGCTTGACCAAGCAGGACAACGAGATCTATGAGTCGTTCATGGAAGCCTTCCCCGATTTCGACCCCGCCGGTGAACTCAACGAGGACCAGATGAAGAGCAAGGCCGGCAAGGAGAAGTGGCGCAACTGGATGATGCAGTGGGAGAAGATCGACGACTTCAACTTTGGCACAATCATCCGCACCCGTGCGGATGCCGAGTATGACCAGGACACCACCATTTTCGGTGTGCGCATGCAGTTCTACGCTGTTGAGATCGCCAGGTGAGTTCCGGACTGAGCTTTGGGAGTCCCGTGCACAGAAACTGACGTTGTTTAGAAACCGCGCCGGTCTCAACGACTGGATCTACGAGAAGGCCCAGAAGGCCAGCTCCTGATTGTAGAGCCCGCATTGTTTCCGCCCTTCTTGAATTCGAGAATGGTTCCATATCCGGGCTGGTTGGCCGACGGCATTTGCCGGTTTTCTGGAGACACGGATGATGAGCGGCCTCGAAGCTCTGATTTACTGGCAGTGCATTGCAGTATTACGGCTTTGGGTCGATTACAATAGAATTGTGGACATATCCCATAGACATGTGGTTCTGATCAAACTATCGCGATTCCTATGTGGATTGGTACTGTCCCTCGAGGTTTGGACTGACCGTCATCATTTGAATCCACAATATACCCAGAATAAAATATTCTTTTCATTGATTCAAATCTATTTCTTATCTCAGTCCGCAAGTGTGATGATGCTACCTCGGACGTTCTGCGTGGCCATCACGCACCAAACATGACACTATATACACCTTCGTGCAGGTTTGACATTCATATAAACGACCAGAAAGGATGAAAACTAATTACAGTTCTAACCATGCAGGTACAAGACTACATTCAGCCACGTGACTCGGGGAATCGGGCACAATACCAAATTGATGTCTTTGTTCAATGCAACCATCAATGTTACCACATTTGGCAATATCTTAATATTGTTCTGCCAGAGCGATGGGTTATCTTTGTATAACAATGACTCGACCTTCTATGATCACTTTGCCACAAAAATCGCAACCCTCGGTCTTTTCTTTTCTCTTGCCTCACTGTTATGTGACTATAACATGGCATCCGGAAACATCTCGAGTGACAGGAAACCGTGACGACGATATTGAAACCTCTCAGCGAAATGGACGCCAAGCGCAAATCATCCAAGTCTGATGTCGATATCACTCCGAGCTGGAAATCACTGTTTGGATTCACCACCCGCAGACACCTGCCAACCCTCGTTCTCGGATCTATCTGCGCTCTTGTTGCTAGCTGTATTACACCGGCACTGGCAATCTTTCTTGGTAATGTTTTTGACTCTTTCACGTCTTTTGGTGCTGGACAGATCGATGCTGGAGAGCTTCGTGAGAAGGTCATCCGGAATTGTTTCGGGATGATTGGACTAGGAGCAGCTGGCTGGTTTCTGAACGGGGCATACTTCGCCCTATTTGTTGCGTTCGGAGAAATGCAGGCTTCCGGAATCCGCAGTCAAGTCTTTCTGGAATTGCTGAGGAGAGATGTGGAGTGGTTCGAGGCCAGGGGTGAAGGCTCCGGGGCTTTCCTGTCTGGAATTCAGGCGTGAGCTTGTCACAAACCTTGCTGGTATAAATTTCTAACCAGGCTCACAGACACATCCATGATATTCAGATGGCTACATCACAGCCGCTGGGGCTTGTCCTGCAATACTCTGGTCGCTCGATGGCATCGCTCGCCCTGGGCTTCTACACGTCTTGGAGTCTGTCGCTAGTGACTCTTGCTGGGATTCCCCTCTTCATCTCCATCATCGGGTTCCTGTCTTCAAAGATGAAGTCCAGCATCATAGCACAACAAGTCGACCTCACCAATGCCTCCAAAATCGCCAATAATGCAATCACCAATATTGACACGGTCAAATGTCTCAACGGGCAGACCTTCGAGCATCGGAACTTCTCTGAACGTATTGAGCGATCTGCAACACACTACTTTCGGCTGGCTCGATTGAACTCTCTCCAGATTGCTTTTATCCGCTGGATGATTTTCGGCATGTTTGTTCAAGGGTTCTGGTATGGCAGCTCACTCGCTCGTACCGGTAAACTTCCACCCGGAGAGGTGCTGAGGACTTTCTGGGTCTGTCTGACTGCAGCTCAATCCCTGGAACAGGTTCTTCCACAGATGATTGTGATAGAAAAAGGAAAAGTTGCGGGCATCGCCCTAAAATCGATAGAACGCAGCCCAGCAAATGAAAAACCAGACAATATGTCAAATGGAACGCGGTACCCGGAGCACTGTGAAGGTGACATAGAGGTCAAAGACGCAAGTTTCGTACCTTTCCTGGATTGGCGATAACTAATGACAAGTCTAGGTATCTTTTGCGTACCCAAGCCAGCCTGACCAAACTATCCTCAATCCATCTAGCTTTTTCTTTCCTGCAGGGGAAACTACCTTTGTGATAGGAAAAAGTGGATCTGGAAAGAGTACACTCAGTCAGCTGTTGATGCGGTTCTACTTACCAACATCTGGCGAGATTCTCATTGACCGGAAACCAATGAAGGAGCTGGACATCAGCTGGATCCGAAACAATATTACCCTCCTGGAGCAAAAGAGTGTTCTCTTCAACGAGTCAGTACTCACAAACATTGCTTTTGGTCGACAGAACCATGAGAGTGTCACGATGAACGATGCTAAAGAATGCATTGAGCTCGCCATGCTTCAGAGCACTATTGACGATCTACCCAAAGGGATTGACACATGCGTCGGTCCCGGTGGAAGCTTCCTGAGCGGTGGTCAGAGACAAAGAGTTGCGATCGCCAGAGCCAGACTGCGAGACACGCCTATCTTGATTCTGGATGAGCCCACCAGTGCTCTCGACCACACCAATCGAGTGGCAGTGATGAACGCAGTCCGCGAGTGGCGGAAGGGCAAGACCACCATCATCATTACCCACGACATGTCCCAAATCATGGAACGAGACTTCTTGTACATCCTAGAACAAGGTGCGATTGTGGAATCAGGCTACAGGTATGCAGTCGAAAACAGTCCAAGGAGCAAAAGGTACTTCCATTCGGAAGTCGATGAACTTCCAACCCAAATGGAAAGGGACACGGCAGATAGGAGGAACAGTGGGTGGGACAATGTATCGAGGGATAGCTTGGATAACCTGCGGCCTCCAATGGCTGTGCGCGGACCTCGTCGAGCCAGGACGTCCTGGGCTCAAGGTCACATTCCATCCAGTGTACGCTTCAGCTTGTTAGACATCAGTCCAAACAGGTACTCGGCATACGCAGCCCGCTCAGGAGAACCCACCAAGCTACCTATTCAGGATCCGTCCAGCCGTCTATCATTCTGGAATGAAGGATCCGGAAAAAAAACACAAGAAGCTGTTGTTAGCCGTCCCGCAGAAGAAGTTGAAATGATTCAAATCGATGACCAGGGCTTGAATTCAAAATCACAGCCCAATCATCAAGTTCCATATGGGCAAAAGGATTCATCTGACGCCAAATCCATTCGACGCCCACATCATCGGGCTTCATTGAGATTCAAAAGTCGTCGCACACCAAAGGATAAAATGACTCCGCTGTCTCAAACCATGGGGACCATTTACCCAAATTTAACGCCACGCCATCGAATCATCCTTTTCCTTGGGTTTGGCTCGGCGTTGATCCATGCAAGCGCAACGCCGATGTTTTCATACTGTCTTTCGCAGCTATTCAGCACTTTCTATGCTGGAACCAACAATGCACACCTGACAATGACATGGTCACTTGCTGTACTAGGAGTGTCATTCGGAGATGGCCTTGCCTCCTTCTTCATGCATTATTTCCTAGAGATTTGCGGCGAGGCCTGGATGGACACTTTTCGGAAGAACGCTTTCGAACGGATCCTCGATCAACCGCGTGCTTGGTTTGAGAACGATGGCAACGGGTCACTGAGACTCACATCCTCCCTTGACCAGAATGGAGAAGACATGCGGAATCTGCTTGGCCGCTTTGGTGGATATGTCGTTGTTGCAGCTTCAATTACAGTGATGTCAATCATCTGGAGCCTGGTTGTTTGCTGGAAGTTGACACTGGTTGCACTTGCCTGTGGACCGGTCGTTTACGCCACAACTCGGGGCTTTGAGGGCACTAATGGGTTATGGGAACGACGATGCAATGATGCGAACAGTGTTGCCACTGATGTGTTCACGGAGACTTTCTCGGAAATCCGCACAGTGAGAACGCTGACCCTTGAAGGTCACTTCCATCGCAAACAGGCCAATGCTATTGGACGGTGCTTGATGCTGGGTCTAAAACGTGCTATGTATACGGGCATGATTTTCGGAATGGTCGAGTCAACTGTCGTCTTTGCAAGTGGTAAGTACTCATACAAATTGGCTACTTTGA